GAGCAAGGGGTTGTCCCCCAGAAACATTGACTATATCAAGGTGCTATTTGATGATGTCTGGGCACTAAAAAAATGTCTACATGAAATTCAGAATATTTTCTTTTGTTTTGTGGAGGATGTGAGGAGTGGCTAACTCTCCTAGAAAATTTTACAATTTAAAGATGATATTTGGTGCTTCTGGGCACTTTTAAAGTGTATTAGTCAATAAAAACATTGAAAAACAATCACAATTTTTTTCAAATTTTGGGGGTGTCAAAGGGGGGAGGGGTGCCAGAGGGGGAGGTGGGGCTGGGGTGCCAGAGGGGGAGCAAGTGTTTGTCCCCCATATCAAAATTTACAATATCAAGGTGCTATTCGATGAAGTTTGGGCACTTTAAATGTGTCTGTGCCTAAAAGTGCCTATTTCCCAAGAAAATTTTACAATTTTAAGATGCTATTTGGTGCTTTCTGGGCACTTTCAAAGGGCGGGTATGAGTCAATAAAAAAAATTTGAAAAATCTGCCAGAGGGGGAGGTGGAGTTGGGATGCCAGAGGGCGAGTAAGTGTTAGTCTTCCAGAATCATTAACTTTATCAAGGAGCTATTTGAAGATGTCTGGGCAATTTAAAAGAGTCTGAGACAATACATAAAACAAATTCAGAACTTTTCCATTGTTTTGTTTGGGGTGTGAGGGGTGGCCCACTCCCCCTAGAAAATTTTACAATTTTACGACGCTATTTGGTGCTTTCTGGGCACTTTTAAAGTGTATGGGTCAATTAAAGAATTTGAGAAAATCACAATTTTTTTTGGGGGGGAGGGTCAAGGGGGGGGGGGGGCGCCAGAGAGGGGGGGGGTTATGCAAGTGCAAGATGCAAGAGGGGAAGTAAGTCCCCCAGAAACACTTACTATATATATCAAGGAGCTATTTGATAATATCTGGGCACTTTAAAAGTGTCTGAGACAAAACTCTAAAATAAATTTAGAACTTTTCCATTGTTTTGTGGGGGGTGTGAGGGGTTGCCAATACCCCTAGAAAATTTGAAAATTTTAAGATGCTATTTGGTGCCTTCTGGGTACTTTCAAAGTGTATGAGTCAATGAAAAAAAATTACAAAAAAAAAATTTATTTTGGGGGGTGACAAAGGGGGGTGCGGTCGCACCCATCGCACCCCCCCATCTGACGGCCCTGGACCGATATATAAAGCTGCAGAACAGTCAGAATTGTACAGTTAATAATTATATTATTAGATCGATTAGTCACTTTACAATTAACAATCACAATCTTCAAAGTCACATTCAGGTTAGACCTAAAGCCAACCCCTTTATCCAAACCTTGTCGATGATTGGACGGATATATAAAGCTGCAGAACAGTCAGAATTGTACAGTTAATAAATATATTAATATTAGATCTTATTCGTCACTTTACTATTAACAATCACAATCTTCAAAGTCACATTCAGGATAGGCCTAAAGCCAACCCCTTTATCCAAACCTTGTTGATGATTGGACAGATATATACAGGGTGGGCCAATGGAAATTAGAACATTTTTCTATTTATTCAATCTTCTTTATTATTGCAGTTCAGTCCACAAAAATTAATGGTGAAATGGTTATTTGTGAAAATGTTAAATATAAATCTTTTCAGTATCTGATTATTTTTGGCTTGTCATGGTCACGATCTGTATACTGCGTGCGCATCATGAAAAATTTCCAAATTGTCTCTGCTTGAGACATCATTGCTGAAAATACAGTATTTCATACCTTACAATATATGCTCTTCAAATGGTCTCAACACAATTTCCATCAATTAAAACATATGTAGTTATCTCTAGGAGAAGCTACACATGTCTCCCTTGCTCCCTTGGACAATATAGCTTAACTGACTTCAGTTTTTTTTCAAAACTGGCACAATATATATCAAATACAGCTCAGACTGATTGTTCAGGTGGGTGGAGGACATGTTCAGTAATTAAATGTTGAGCTTGTATATTCATATTTACACATGCCATATTGACGATGAATTGTATTTCAATTTCCTAAAGTATTGAAGATGATACATGACAACAACAAAAAGTTACAATCAATGGAAAATGTTCCAATTTTTTACTCAACCCAAGGATTTCCTGAACAACTTTATTGTCAAGGTATTTTGCAAGTGGTGACATATTGTTATGGTCTCTATTTTTTGTGACAGCGGTTGGCGTCTGGTGGTCGGCATCTGTAACAAATTCTTACAACTTCCAATAACTTTACAAAAACTGTTTGGACTGATTTCAGTTTTTATCAAATCTTCAAGTTCTTGGAAGTTCAAATCTGACTTCAGTTTAAAACTCATAATATTGTGAGCAACTAGATGGTGACATTTTGTCATGATGATGCCTTGTTGATGATGATCATGTATTTCAGACTATGTGTAAAGATGATCATGCTTTTCAGACTATGTGTAAAGATAATCATGCATTTCAGACTATGTGTAAAGATGATCATGCTTTTCAGACTATGTGTAAAGATAATCATGCATTTCAGACTATGTGTAAAGATGATCATGCATTTAAGACTATGTGTAAAGATGATCATGCATTTAAGACTATGTGTAAAGATGATCATGCATTTAAGACTATGAAAAATAACTATGCATTTAAGACTAAGTGTAAAGATGAGCTTGCATTTCAGACTATGTATAAAGATGATCATGCATTTAAGACTATGTGTAAAGATGATCATGCATTTAAGACTATGTGTAAAGATGATCATGCATTTAAGACTATGTGTAAAGATAATTATGCATTTCAAAACATATGTAAAGATGATCATGCATTTCAGACTCTGTGTTGAGATGATCATGCATTTCAGACTATTTGTAAAAATGATCATGCATTTCAGACTATGCATCTCAAACTACCGGTATGTATTGTAATTCCCCTTTATTATTTAGTTATGCACAGCGAACACTTTTACTATTACCTGCACTGTGATATGTATATTGAAGCTGCAGAATATACTATGACATCTGTTTGTTGTAGCTGCAGAATGCACTTTAACATGCATCATGAAGCTGCTAAATGCACTGTGGTAATGTGCTGTAGCTGCAGAATGCACTACAATATGTATCTTAAAGCTGTATAGGCCTAATAATTTATGCATTTGGACGTGCACAGTGTATATGCATATTGTTAAATAACATAAGTGATAGAGTAGCTTATTTTGAGATAGCTGGAGTAAAACCTGTCTAATACAAACACTACTAGGACCAGCCTTAAGTGTTTGGATTGGCAGGTGTTTAGATTTCAAGGTTTTTAAACATGGTCATCAATGTTAGATCAAAACATGCCACCCAAAAACGTGTTCACACTGATAGATTAGTGAGGTGTTTGATTATACAGGTTTTACTGTATTTTATTTGAAATAAATTTTTATCTACTAACACATTCATGTACTGTTAAATTTGTATTGATTTGTAATGGAATATTGTGTTCAGTTAAGAATAATATATAAGAACATAGGCCTAGGGTGGTAAATGTTACCTAAAACAATGGGCCCAATTTTGAAATTTGCAGCCACTTTTCTTTATTTAGAAATAGGCTTGAAAGTAAAAATAAAAATAGTGGAAGACAAATTTTGGGACCAAAACATTTTTTGGGCACCAATTTTTGTTGAGAAATAAACACCACTTTCACGATTTCAAATTTTGCTTTGCACATAGGCGGCACTGAGAAAGCACCTACTCAGTTCATGTGATCACATCCTGCAATTTGATGGACATAGTATACTGATGGGCGTGACTGAAATAAATTATGTTCATGAGTACGAAAGAATACAACATTACTATGGGAGCTAATCACTTCTTCTGTCCTAGACTCCTACGCATGATCCTCAATTTTGACACTACATTTATAGAGGAAAAATGGGAATTTGTACGGTGGCAACATTTTCAATATTGAACATTTTCGTGTGTTTTATGTTAGTTTGGTGTCCAAAACTGAATCAGGGACAATATCCTGATCATGACTGATATGATCACGCGGTCCTAACTTCGACCGTTAATTTGAATTTTTGACCTACCGGATGTTTGAAAATCAAGGATTACGAGTCTCATACTGCACCGTTTTTCTTCAAACTTGCTCCATTCAAAGCATAACAGAAATCCCTTTCTGATGGTACACTATTCTCTTAAACAGGGTCCCTACTTCCAGCAGCATTTTGGTCCCCAGCTGTAAGAAGGCCTTCTAACAGCTGGGGACCAAAACGCTGCTAGAACGAGAGACTCTTTACAATAAAGTAATGCACCTACAGAAAGGCAATTTTGTTTTGCGTTTAATGGTTGTATAAGTTTGAAGAAAAACGGTGCAGTATGAGACTCACAATCCTTGATTTTCAAGCATCTGGTAGGTCAAAAATTCAAATTAACAGTCGAAGTTAGTACAGCGTAATGATTCTAACATTGTTTATTTCCTTTGATAATTGAAAGACAGACCTATAAGAATCATTTCGCTCATCAGCAACTCCCCGGAATTTCGTACTTTTTTCTCTCATCAGGACAGTACGTGTATAACCATGGCCCTATTAAATTGATATTAATTTCATATACTACTAAATGGTAAAAACTGTTGAATTTTTAAAAAACAGTCAATGAACTTTAAATTGAGATAAAATATTCATGTTTCGATTGTAATTATCATTATTGTAATTATTACACGAGGGTTCAGTAACATTTACTTCATATTTAATCCTCATAATCTACTAAGTATAGGATAAATCAGTTATTAAATGCTCGATTTTGATATCCCTCGGTAAATACAATATATCAACCCTCGGTTCCTACAGTCCCTCGGGTAGATATATTGTATTTCCCTCAGATATACCCTGTATCAAAAACCTTCCATTAAATAACCTCTATATCTCCAATCTAAGATATATAATATTTATAAAAACAAACTACTTTCAAAATTACAGAATTTATTACAAAAGTAGAAAAAATATTCAAAGTGTATATTATTTAATAATATACAGGGTGTCTCTTTACACAGACTTTGTATTGTAATTATTAGGAGACTTAAAGGACACCCTGTATATCTGTTTGTGATTCATGATTTTAAATACTGCAAATTACAAATATGCAATTCATCAATTAAGGATACATACATCATGGCAAATCTCTGTAGATTTGACATAAAATATCATATTTTTACATTAATGTGAATTCCATCAATGTTATATCACACACACTGTGTTATATGTGTATTAATCGTGAAATATAAATCTTATTCACGCTGCATCACAAGTCAGCTGATTTTAAGGTTGTTTTGCTGATTTTAAGGTTGTTTTACTGATTTTGATTTTGTTTTACTGATTTTAAGGTTCTATTGTTGATTTTGACATGTTTTTCTGATTTTGAGGTTCTATTGCTGATTTGATATTGTGTTGCCGATTTTGAGGTTCTATTGCTGATCTGGAGGTTCTTTTGCTGATTTTGAGGTTCTATTGCTGATTTTAATGTTCTATTGCTGATTTTGAGGTTGTTGATATAGTTAATATGTAATAATCCTGGACACTCTATTTGCCACTCCTGAAAAATAATATTTATTTATCTATTACACCAAAAAAATAAGTTCAAAAGAACAATATGACATCAGCTGTTATTGAAATGTTTTTGCTTGCATTCGCATGATGAGTCTATGGAATTACCATGCATCTTAATCATTGGTCAATCCATATATTGTGTTTGATTGTAATTGTTACGATTCAATAAAATTCAGAGTTTAACATTATTGTTTATTGTATGTACATAATATAAATACTCACCACAGACATTCTTGCCAATCTTTATGTGCAGGTATCCATCAATTCCCCAGTCTGTCCCCCATGAGTTTCTAGCGATGTAGTAAGGAATTGGACCTGAAAAACAATTTAATATTGTAAGCTGTAAGGTAATGGTGTAGCCAATCTGAAAATGCCTTTTAAAATTTGTTTTGCTTTTGGTCCATGACATTTTAGATCTCCAATGGATATGAGTGCGTTGGGTCTCCAAAAATGAACTTTTTGGAAGCGCCTTAAATTATACCTAAAAGCATCTTATAGCTTATCTCTTAAGACTCCCCATTAGTGCAGTGCAATTAGCAAAGCATAAATCTGAAGCTATTCGAAATAAATCAAGTGTCCGCAGAGGTAAGGAAGGTCAATCACACTGACCAAAGCTAGGAGATTGATACCTGATCTATCATATCCTATAATTTGTACTGCGTGGTTGTTCCAGGCCTCACAATGGTACTGGATAATGCCACCCAGGTAATCGTTCCAAGTTGTGGCATCTACAGATATAGACAGTGGACCATAATGATACAGCCACTTCCAAAGCTCTTCCTCCCTCTCTGGATAAGTCAAACTGTTCGTAAATCTACAAAAATTCAGAATTTGTGGAGTGTTCAATCAGTATTGATAAAGCACATGTTGTATACACCATCTTTGTTCTTCCATCAAACAATTGCAAAATTAGAAACAAAAAATAAGATATGAGATATTCATATTGTTTTATTGAAATTGTTTTATTGAAATTTAGATTTAATATCTATATTAATATTTATAATAGTTTAGACAATTTGACAGTGAAAATTCAATTTCAGGTTATTTTACAACAAAACTTCTGATAAAGATATTTGATTTATTTTATTTGTTGTGTACATATTTTAATGCACCTTCTTTCAATCAGTTAAACTGTAATGGTGGCAAATCATTGAGTACATGGGAGAAAAAGATATGACTAGAAAGACTACAGTGCCATCTTTCTGTTTTACTTATAGAATGATTCACATGATAACACACATTCTGATACTCATCAGATCTTTCTTTTTACCTATGATCAATATTTCTAGAAAGGAACTGAGAGAACATTGTGACATCATAACATGGTTTCAAAATTCAAATTGATTGGATCTATTCTTGACTAATACAACTGGAAAAATGATCGCTAGTTCTACACACAACGTCACAATTTCCAAAACTGATAATCTTTGAAACTTAGAAGTAGAAGTAATTTTGCCAGACAGGTGGACGTAGAGAATGTATATGCAAACATGTGGGTGATTGCAGAGCTAAAACCTTATTCAAATATCGTATTTAAGACACCCATAGTCTAGCTACAAGCCCTTGTAAGTAACCCCCCAATTGACTACACACCCTCCCTTGTTGGGATGAGTAGTAGAGGGGTGGGGGGGGGGGGTCACAAGGGCTTGTAGCTAGGACACCCAAAACATTGCAAAATTGATCAACTCTTAAGCCCATCAATCTAAGTTAGTGTACCCGTAACACTGGAAATCCTTGACTCTGGCACCCTTCTGCCCTGATGGAAACATCTTACATGCATCAGAGCTGTCAGTCAGTGGGTAGAGTTCTTCTTTCACCAGGGCTGTCCTTGACTAAAATATGAAAGTAAAGAACATTAACAAAATGAATATCATGGGATTAATTGAGGTAAATTAAAATGTCCCAGCCTTGGGACGGGACATCTATTTATATTAAAATTTATTTTATATTAAAACTTGAAAACATCAAAAGACCAGATACATGTAGGCTAAAACCTTTAAAGGACCAGGTCGGTTAAAACCTTCTAAAGGCCAGGTAGGGAAAACTTTCAAAAGAAAAGGGTATGGAAAGACCTTCAAAGGACCAGGTAAGGTAAAACATTCAAAGGACCAGGTAGGGAAAACTTAAAAGGACCAGGAAGGGTAAAATTTATAAAGAACCAAGGAGGTTAAAATCTGCAAAGGACCAGGTAGGGATAAACCTTTAAAGGACCAGGAAGAATAAAAACCTTAAAAGGCCTGGGAGGGTATAACATTCAAATTACCATGATGGGTAAAACTATTCAATAGGTCAGTTGGGGTAAACCTTCAAAGGACCAGATAAGGTAAAACTTTCAAAGGGTCATGTAGGGATACACTTCCCCTAAAGTTTTTGATGCATAAGTTTCATACATGTAAGATATTAATCATTTACCGTTTTCATCCAATCTATTGCATTACAAGTGTCCCCTCCATTACACCCCTGATTTGGCCCTCCTGCACAGTCTATCACCTGTTGTACGCTTAGTCCAGGGGTTGAATTGTATTTTATTCCAACCATGCTTTCCACTGTTTCAACAACACTGAATGCCCTAAATAGATAGAAAACTCAATGACATACATTTATAATTAAACATTTGGACACTAAAACATCCCGAATGCTGCCCTAAACTGAATGCCCTAAATAGACAGAAAACACAATCTGACAATGACACTCATTTATAATTAAACATTTGGACACTAAAAACATGACTTCATAACTTTGGTGTCACATCCTTGTTCTAAGAACTGTTAAGATTGACACTGATGCTGAACACAGACTTCAAGTCACTAACAAGGCATTAACATGCAATATGTCACCACCTGCCAATTGTTACAGTACACCGCCCACAAAAAAGTTGGAGACTATAACAATATGTCACCACTTGTGCAGTGGTGGTGACATAAAAATGATGGCTAATAACAATATGTCACCACAATATGGTGGCAGCATTTAAACCAAATAGGCAAACTGAAGAAGTTTCTCACCAACAAGCTCCACATGCCTTTTGATTCTTAACTGGGGTCACAACTTTCTTGTCTCTCCTGCAAAAATAGAGAAGCACACTAGTTAGTCATTTTGAGGAAAAGTGACATTTTCACATCAGGTCTGAGCATGATTTACTGAAGATTAGATAAATAACTTACCTTTCTTTAGTCTTCCGAATGCTCATATACAGTTGAAAAGAACACATATTAAACTAATAGATCTTCATACAAGCCAGTTAAAAATGTCAGGCCCATAGCCAGTCCCCCACCCCCTGGCCAAAAATTCTTTCAAAATCATGCAGTTTTTCACTATTCTGAGCACTTTTCATTTTTGTGCAAAACTTGATATTAGTGAACCCCCCTGAATTTATAAAAGTGAACCCCCCCTTGCCAAATCCTGGCTACGGGCCTGAATGTCTTGCTTACCAATCAAACTTGAGAGGGTACGATGTTGTAGGGGGGTTTATAGATGGAGCAGCTGGTGGACAATCACAAGTGACGGCTGAGTACAACAATCTTGAATCCAGTAAATACAGTTCTGAAATGTATGGGATGAATATAATTAGAACGATCACAACGAAAGATCATTTGATTTTTTCTAAATACAAATTGACAAAATCTTAGATTATCATCATCAATAGTCACTGGGTTGACGAGATTAGTTACTACAATTTTACAAAATGTACATAATTGTACAATATATAGACTGAACACATAAATTGAACACAAGAGCTTCAAGTAGAACACCATCATCTAAAGGGAAGACTTTTCAGTTCAGTAACACATTCATCTACTGCAAAGACCACCTTAAAAGATGTGGAACACATTTTTTAAGGTACCAGAGGTGTTCCACTTACACAGGTTTTACTGTAGTCTATTTGAGCATCGAGATATTGAACCTACTTCTAAATTCTTCTTGAGAGAGATCAGAGAACTTATTGATTCCATATATGGCAGATGCATTGTGGGTCCTTTTGGAATTGTATGCAGAGTGGCGCTTGATGTTCTCCTACAAGCATACATGTCATGTGAATTGTGGTATTAACAATGGGAGTCAGAAATACATGTACTGAGTAAAGTAACAATGGATCAATAGCATGACCATAACGAGGCATTAGGCAAGCCAGGTAACTACTTTGCAAAAATTGCCTAACCTACATTTGCCTCATTTGCGCTTAATTTGCCTCACCTATTTACATTTGCTCTTAATTTGCCTCACCTATTTACATTTACCTTATTTTGCTTTAATTCAACTCATCTATTTACATTTGCCTCCTTTGCCCTTAATTTACCTCACCTTTTTACATTTGCCTTATTTGTTCTTAATTTGCCTCACCTATTTACATTAGCTTCATTTGTGCTTAATTTGCCTCACCTATTTACATTTACCTCCTTTGCCCTTAATTTCCCTCTCCTATTTACAATTACCTGCTTTGGCTTAAATTTGCCTCACCTATTTACACTGGCCTTCTTTGCCCTTCATTTGGCTCACCTATCTTCATTGGGCTTCTTTGCCCTTCATTTGCCTCACCTATTTTCATTTGCCTCATTTGCCATTCATTTGCCTCACCTATTACATTTGCTCTTAATTTGCCTCTCCTATTTACATTTACCTTATTTTGCTATAATTTACCTCATCTATTTACATTTGCTTCCTTTGCCTTTCATTTGCCTCACCTATTAAAATTTGACTCATTTGCCTCTCCCATTTACAATTACCTGCTTTGACTTTAATTTGCCTCTCCTATTTACATTAGCCTCATTTGCTTTTAATTTGCCTCACCTATTTACATTTGCCTTATTTTGCTTTAATTTACCTCATCTATTTACATTTGCCTCCTTTGCCCTTCATTTGCCTCACCTATTTACATTTGCCTCATTTGCTCTTAATTTGCCTCACCTATTTACATTTGCCTCATTAGCGCTTAATTTGCCTCACCTCTACATTTGCCTCATTTGCTCTTAATTTGCCTCACCTATTTACATTTGCTTCATTTGCTCTTAATTTGCCTCACCTATTTACATTTGCCTCATTTGCGCTTAATTTGCCTCACCTATTTACATTTGCCTCATTTGCTCTTAATTCGCCTTACCTATTTACAATTACCTGCTTTGGCTTTCATTTGCCTCACCTATTTACACTGGCCTTCTTTGGCCTTCATTTGGCTCAAGATCTAGCTGAGAGGCACCTTATATTTCTGTTTTTGAGGCATAAAAATTAGCCTTGTATGATGACTTTCAAAGTAACTTACTGTCGAGCTGTCTTTTCATATCATTTTCTAAATTAGCAAGTTTACATCATCATTCAATGATATAATTGTTGATTCATCTTTTGTGAACTCTATCCATGGGTTCAACTTGCTTGTACTCAATCTCTGTCCCCAAATAATGACATTTTACATTATAACATATATAAGGCACAAGAATACATTACATATTATGGTGGTCTATTGATTTATTCAATGGTTAACCTTATGCGCGTTAAACAGTTAGGCAAAGTACACTGGGAAGGTCAAGGCCGTTTGAAATACTCCATTTTAGTGAGGAAAGGGCTCTAGAAGTAACGGTAAGTTTTAGCGTTTCTACTGTGTTCTACTCGCATATTTAATGATTATAGTTTGCTGATCTTAAAAAAGTACAACTTCTGATCGTGTAAATCCAAGATCTTGACCACAAATACTTGTTTTTGATCATGAATAAGGCTATAGACATTGCCATTGAATTTTTTCATCACCAGAAAGATGATTGTGAAACACCTGATTTCAACTAAAGTTGGTGTTCATTTCTATTTCTAGGTCTATTATTCTTCATCAATTGAATGAAATACAGTACTAGTAAGCTATAATCAAAGCTGATTAAAACACTTCACTCTGCCAGTGGTCACTCCAGTTTGGGTATTAGATCAAGACTGACATTATTCCAAGACTAGATTGAAATCTACATCCATATTTTCATATTTAACTCGACTCCAGATTTTCCAGTGACTTGCATCACACCTGTCTCTATAATTCATATTAGATGTGATAATCAGGGGTGGTCCTGATAATCGAGAGTAAAAATTGAAAAATAATGCAGTGCAGATTTTGGACCTAAGGGACTCAACTTTGGTTCGTTACTCTTAATACAACCTTTATATTTTTCCTTCAGGTAGTCCATTCAAAAACAGCAAGCTCAGAAAACAAAAATGTTTCCGTGTGTCGGTGCTGAGGGTACAGAGGATGGGCAGGAACCACTATCAGAGGGAGCTGCAGTTGAAGAACCATTGCTTGGTCTACTTGACGTGCTAATCATTGGTCTGATAGCATGTGGACTGTTATACTGGTTTGTCTTTCGGAAAAAGAAAGAACCAGAGACAGTAAAACAATTGAAAATAAACAATTTACCATCGATGGGACGCTCCAATGACCCAAGTTTCATTAACAAAATGAAAAATTCCAACCGTAATGTGGTTGTATTTTATGGCTCGCAGACAGGCACTGCGGAGGAGTTTGCTGGCAGACTCGCCAAAGATGCTCTTAGATATGGTATGTATCTTTCAAGGGGTCTTACTGTAGTAGTAGATCTGTTGGATTATCGTTTTGTAGCATCAAAACGTGAACCAATCTCTGTTGAACTGCATATGTCGTTATAAACATTTGGGATTTGTAGAGTTTTTTTAGAAGTGAACGATCTCAATTTTTGTATCAAAGAGAGGTAGGAGATAGTGATTGCTGATCATCCATGCATATTTGGTATGAGAAGCAAACTTGGTGGGTTAAGCCTCAGGGGTTAAGCGTCTGCAACAGCTCAAAAGTGTTCTAATAAAGGCTTTGGGTTGAATTTTAAAATATTTTAATTCCCAAATTTTTCAAATCTTCATTTGAAAAATAATATTCCATATAAAATCTAAACTTCATTGCTAGAACGTATTCTGTCCTTCAATAATAATGTCTTGTCTTATTTATTGCTTTGATGCAGTACTTGCATACAGGCTCATTATACCTCCAAGTATTCAGGTTTTTTCATTTATTTAAACTTTTTATGGTATTTCTTAGTTTTATCTTTAGTGTGCCTAAATGTTAGGTTCAAGGAGAGCTTGTAACACAAGTATGCATTTTTCTACAATATAAAAAATTCAGTCACAAAGTTCAAGTCAACATTTGGCTATGACAGATATCATATATATGGCTGTATGGAGATTTAAAATCAAGGTCAGCTTATTTTGTTCCATTTACTAGATCAAAAAATTGTTGATTTATGAACTTGACATGTTTTAACATCTGAGTCAACATTTCGCCATGTTCTTTGTGAAATTGTGAGGCAGCAAAAACTATTTACTCTCATTCTCAGTCACAGAGATAATATCCTTTACTGAATAAGCTTAACGCAAAACCTATATTGAACATGATACATTTCACGTTTTCTGTTAGAAATAATTGGATGCACATGCAAATATCTTATATTAATGATTTACAATATATAGTGATATAATACATCTACTCAGTCAGAGGTCATTAAAGCTGGACTACGCTCCGAAACGCAATCTTGGGTTGTTTCGGGGGTGAACTTTATTATTTTGAGCTTAATGAAAGATTATAGAATGATGAACAAATGGGGCAAATCTTGTGTAGAAATACTTACGATAAATGTGTCATTTCAAAGATTTTTCATTGAATTTGCTTCGATCGGAGCCGGCGATATGATTTTGGAAAGGTTTCTAAATGAAGAACGTGACGTCACTTCCGAATCATAGCATTCAAAATAAGTAGCGTTTAATTACTTCCACCATTATTATAATACGGTGGTGTAGCGGTAGAATCCTCGCCGAGCACGCGGGAGGTCCGGGTTCGAATCCCGCGTTCGCCTTTTTATTTTTTTAACTAAATGATTGTTCTTTGATATTACACAGAAAAAAACAATTTTTATTTACATAAACTTTATATTAGAGCTTGAAAATGTAAAAACAATATATGTCAACATATTGCGTTTTGGAGTGATGTGTAGGTTTAACATTTTTTATGAAGTTCTTTATACTCTCATAAGTTTCCCCTACTGGCTGCAAATTGGGACAAGTTCACTAATAAAACGTTTTCATTCAAATAAAGTTGTAAAATAGCCTACATTTCATCCATCATGGTTTTTCATATTTCAGATTTTCATTTGCTATTATTATTAAATTGCAAGGACATTTTTAAAACGTCAACTTGGTATAACGTCCAGTCGCTCCAATGACCTTATTGGAATTGTTGAATGTACAGCATGACACTTTGACTTATCTATCATATTATCTGTTCTAAGAACATGTGTATACATGTATCTGTTATAATTAGAATGAGTCATATTTATACATGTGAGCAACATGTGCCATTGTCAAATTCCATACCTACAATGAGGATTTAACTCCAGTATTGAGTGGGAGGGGGGGGGCTAAATTTAAAATGTCATAATTGACATACTGTACGCCCGGTATTATTCGCGAGCTTTAATTTCGCGAATTTTGCGAAAACACGGTTTCGCGGCTATTAAATTTCGCGAATTTCAAAGTTTGAAATTCATTATTCATTATTCTCGGAATTCTCAAGCTAAATTACTAGTAGATGTACAGTAATTGCACTTACCTGATGTCATAGTTGGATCAGATTTACAATAACTGGGATCTTTATCATCGGTAAGCTGCATATCAACTTCTATTATCGCATCGTTAATTTCGGTCTTATTTTAAAACGAAAAAGCAGTTTGAATTCGTATTTTGTATTACTAGTAGTTATTCGAATTTTGTACTCCCAACATCAAGAATCGTGAGAGTATCAATGTTGCATTCTGGGAGCCATTCTGGAGTTGCACAGTACTACTAGTATCAGACTTGCCAACCTAAATATTTAATTGGCAATTTCGCGACGATAATTTTTCGCGATTTTAACACCATCGCGAAAAGCGCGAAAGTTAATCGCACGCGAATAATACCGGGCGTACAGTAATTGAAAAATAAAATTTATCTCAATTGCTCATGAATGCCTTCCTTTTCAGTATTCTAACAAAATAAAGAATTACTTTTGATTGTTTGCACCCACATCTTTGTGTTACATCTCCATCCCTTTGTTTAATTCCATTTCATGTTAAATTCCCATCTTTGTGTTACACCCCCATTTTTGTAAATACATCCCCATTTTTGTGTTAAATCCTCGTTTGAATACTCATCTATGTACATGTATTATGCTTGCATTTTGTTAAATCTCATTTGTGTGAAATCTCCATCTTTAAGTTACATCCCCATCTTTGCATTAAATCCCCATTTATATGTTAAGATTCCATTTTTCATGTTTTAAAAATTGCCTTCTGTATGTTGTAGGTATGAAAGGTATGGTAGCCGATCCAGAAGAATGTGAAATGGAAGAACTTTCATCTCTCGCAACTATTGAAAATTCACTCGCCATTTTCTGCCTTGCAACATATGGCGAAGGAGACCCAACAGATAACTCTCAGGAGTTCTATGATTGGCTACAAACAGGTGACGCAGATCTTAGTGGCGTCAAATATGCTATATTCGGACTTGGGAATAAAACATATGAGCACTATAATGCTATGGGTATATATGTGGACAAACGTTTAGAGGAGCTTGGTGGGACACGGGTCTATGAATGTGGGCTAGGGGATGATGATGCAAACATAGAGGAGGATTTCGTTACATGGAGGGAAAAATTTTGGCCTGCTGTATGTGAACAGTATGGGGTAGAATCTGTTGGGGAGGATATATCTATGCGTCAATACAGCCTCACTATACATGATGAAATTGAAAAAGAGAAAGTGTTTTCTGGGGAAACAGCACGTCTTGGGTCCTTTAGAACACAGAAACCACCTTACGACACCAAGAATCCATACCTAGCCCCAGTTCAGGTGAACAGAGAGCTCCATAAGGGAGGAGATAGGAGCTGTATGCATATAGAGTTTGACATAACCGGGTCCAGACTTCGCTACGAGGCAGGCGACCATGTCGCAGTGTTTCCAATCAATGACCCAGAAATCGTTGAAAATATTGGAAAACAACTGGGAGTTGATCTCGATCAAGTGATGACTTTAACCAATGTTGATGAGGAAGCAAGTAAGAAGCATCCTTTCCCATGTCCGACTAGCTACCGTACGGCTCTCTCACATTACCTGGACATCACACACCATCCAAGGACACACGTCCTTAAGGAACTGGCTGATTACGCAAATGAAAAAGACAGTGCATTTTTAAAGAAAATGGCAACTGCATCTGATGAAGGGAAAGAGTTATACTTGTCTTGGATCGTAGCGGATGGCCGCACGATACTACACGTCCTTGAAGATCTGCCTTCACTGAAGCCACCTATTGATCATTTATGTGAACTGTTGCCACGGTTACAGGCTAGATACTATTCCATCTCATCATCCCCCAAAGTAAGTGTCTATTTTTATAGTAAAAACTTCATATGAGTTGATCATTTATGGGTTGAAGCTTTGCTTTTAAAGCAGAGGAAAATAATCCAGTTAGGAATGAGAAGTTGAATTACAAGACCTGGTTGTTCAAATACATTTGTTAACAAGCAGAGCTGAATGTGTAGAAAATGCAATTTATGAATATTCATACACACACAAATCCTACTAACTAGAGTATTTAAATTACCATGTTTCATAATTTCACAATTTATAAATCATTTTCACACTCAAACACATAGTATTTTTCTATGTGGTTTTGAATGACATGTTTGTAATGTGTAAATACTTGAAGTTAAGCAACCAAGTTCCTGGATCCAATCCATGAAATGATCAGATGTGTGAATTTAGTGTAGACTAAAGCTGTTTCTCCAAATAGATAAAGCTGTTTCTCCATATAGATAAAGCTGTTTCTCCAAATAGATAAAGAGAGGGGGAGGGCAGAGACTTCATGTTATCACCATCAGGTGAAAGTTTGACAATAACATGTCACCCTTTCAAAATGATGAAATATGACAGTTTGTTCACCAAAATAGGTAAAATTTGGGTTTTACATCTGATTGAGAAAAAATAGTAATTGGCTTTTATCCTTCGTGAACATTTTGAATGGATATCCCATTGATAAATTTGCATGCAACTCTTTACTACTGGGTTGAAACGTTATTCTAATGGTTAAGGTGCCTTTCAATATCAACATGCCAAAATAAATTGTAAAAATTGAGCTGCCAAAAAATAATTGGGTAATTACCCTCACCATATTTTTATTTAAAAGTAAGTATTAACAGGGGCATCCCCGGAATTCTTTACTCTAGTTTCATTTTCTTCAGCAAAATGAAAAAAAAAACAAGAAAAAGTAAAATTTGCTTAAGGGAGGTTGATCACACCCAATGTACCCCACCCCCTAGGTATCTTCAAGGGAAGCGGTTTTATTTTAACAGGTAATAACACATCAATGTTTCAGATTTGTTTCTGATTGGCCAGTTTGAGTTATGGGACTGTCCAGTATGATGTAATCCCAGATGGGACATCTCAAATGAAACAGAAGGCTCAAATGTATGTTTTCTGGTTATGTCTGTCTGGTGAAGAAAAGACTTACTCAACACTTGCATTTTATAGATTTTCTTGTCATGTCGCCCTGTGGATATATCACCCATGGGTGTTATTTAGAAAGTACCTAAAAATAATATCAATGGCATTTTTTAGAGATAAATAAGACTACTTTAGCTAACAAGACAAACAACGTTCTGGGATGGAATAATTATCATCTTCACATATTAGATTTTTCCACCAAGCAAGTATTTAATTCATTTTGAAGATAACAACTTCTCCAAGGGAAGTGATAAATGAGCTATAAAGAATAAACTCATCAATTTCACCCCTATTGTGGTTCTTTGTTGGAAGTAAGAACAATCCCATGTGAAACTTCATGATGGCTATTAGCTGGAGTTTTATAGAAGTAATATAAAGTTTGAGAAAAAGGATCACTTTGAAAGAAAAACCATGTGATGCTGCAATATAATGTATGTGGAATTTTTAAAACGGGAAAATGTAAATATTTGATCTCCATCTTCATCAATGCTTTACCCTTTGCAAGTTTTGTTTTAAAGTTTTATTTGACTTCAAATCTCTAATACAGTAATAGAGAGCTTCATCTCGGGACGCAATTGTGAAATCATTTGAGATTATCGGAGGAGGAATTTACTGCTAGCATCTGAGTCACTTTGATGAGGCTTCAGTTTAAGACTTTTGTCTCCATGAAAATGTTGTCTGTCTGCATTTAAAGTGTCTTTAGGGGAGTCTTTATTCCCAGCTTATATCTTTTATGAATGAATGAGATGTTTTTTCCTTTGAATTGTGTATTGAACATTGAAAACAGGATGCTCATCTAATATAAAGAGAGTAATACTGTGCAGTGAAGCAATCATTTTTATATTACTTATTGACGTCGTGAAGATCCTGCATTTTGTCACGTCACTCAGTTCTCAGTACATGTAATTCCAATTTCCACAATAAATTTTCTCTTACATGTCTTACATGTGTTACACCCTGATCTAATTTGTCATATATATCTGGTGTCACCATTCTTTAGTCATGCTATTTTAATCATATGAATGATTTGGTTTTATATCATTAGAACTAGTACATGTGATGCTCTTTCCAAACTGAATGACAAAAATAGAAAAAACTGATAAAAGGCTCACAATGATACAGGGGATTGGACATCAGAGGTTATGGTTTAATGCAGAACTAGTTTTCTTGTATTCTTATAATAATTATATGTATATAATTTAGTGCATCTTACCCTATATACTTATACTAAATTATATACATGCATATAATGTTTTTATCACACTTTTCAAAGTACTGTACGCCCGGTATTATTCGCGAGATTTAATTTCACGAATTTTGCGAAAGCACGATTTCGCGGCTATTAAATTTTGCGAATTTCATAAGTTTGAAATTCATTACTATTCCAGGAATTCTCGAGCTACTCGTGTGTAAATTAAGTTAGATGTACAGTAATTGCACTTTCCTGATGTCATATTCGGATGAGATTTACAATAACTGGGATCTTTATCATCGGCAAGCTGCATATCAACCTCTATTGCATCGTCATTTTTAATATTAAAGCAAAAGTATGTGGCTCCCATAATAACTTTACCGTACTTCATACTGTATTTTATCGTATTCGGGGATTCCCCAGAATATGATGTCCAATCAAATTGCAGGCTACAACCACGTGAACAATCGTGCGCACGTGCTCTTTCATTGCCGCGCATGCGCATAGTAAAGTCATGGAGTTTCACAGTACTATTGAAGTACTATAACACTTGGACTTCTATAATATCGTCGATGTCATTATTAAGCCTAGGCCCATTGGTAGTAGTTGGCCTAACTAGCCAACGTAAAATAGACATGTTGGTGGAAATCATCCAATTATCGCCCAATAACACTAGACGAAACGTTTTACACAAAACGAAATGTATCAGAGCCCCGGGTAAAAACAAATTTCCGGGGATTTAATTAATTGTGATAATTAACGCTGAATCTTGTAATGCAAAATTTAGTACACCTTACCCTAAACACTGCAATGTATTATAATGTTTTTTGGTTTTGTTTTAGGCTTATCCCAACAGCATACACATCACTGCAGTCCTTATAGAATGGTCCACAAAAACAGGACGTGTTCGCAAGGGGGTGGCCACGAACTGGCTCAAATTGAAACAACCGACCAACGGAATTAAGCCAACCGTGCCAATCTTTGTACGCAAGTCTCAGTTCCGTCTACCATTTAAGCCATCTGTCCCAGTAATGATGATTGGGCCAGGAACAGGGTTTGCACCATTTAGAGGCTTTATACAAGATAGGAATGCAGCGAGGGAACAAGGTATGATCAAACTTTTGTGAGTCATCAGGTATCTATGAACTATGGATCTATCAATGCTAAATGGACAAATATTTTATACTTTAACTTTATTGTATCAGTTTATGTACATACCCTCTTTATTTTTCGCTTTGATGAAAATTCACCAGTTTTTGTCGATGAATTCCCTGCTATTTTGTTTGTTTTGTATCATGAACACACAAAGTCTTTTGGTGAAACAATTCTAACAAGTCTATTGTTGAGTGGCTGAGAAAAGACATTGCCCTTACTAGGTTAGGGAAACCTCAAATCAACCTTGATTTGAGGTTTTATGCCCCTATCTAATAGGAATCGTACATTGAAAGACTCATTAGATCAGGCTCATTTTTGGATTTTTATACTGTTCAGCATTCATTAGTTCTGCATGTTAGCAAACTTTATTTGGTTATAAAATTAACTTGTTTTTTTATGTCACCATTAAGAAGTAAAGACATTGTTACAGCCACACTTTTTGTGATGATTTTGTTATTGAGTGATATACTTTTTGTAACAACTTACCAGGTGGTTACATTTTGCCCTTTAAATCCCTTATTTATGTTGGTCCATAACTATTTTATTGTCAATGTCTACCAGTAGAGCTGGGTCATAATGATTTTACTTTTTAGTCCTCAATTTTTACCCTTGCTAAGGTCACTGAGTGCATTTGAATGATCGACATATTCCAATCCGACCATATAGATTATTTTGCATAATAGATAATACATTCACACTGATTAAGTTAAAGTATTAATAAGTTCCATTTTGACCTAACCTTTCAAAAATATTTTGAATAGGTGTGTCATTTACAACGAAATACATTGTAGACTTTATACTTGTAGTTATCTGACTTAGTGAAAGAAAACAAATGTAAATATACATGTACATGTAATTAAAAAGTACCTCGATTAACAATGACTAATGACTAAAATATATGACTACATTACGTCTACGTGACTACATTAGGTGAATGTGACTACATAACTTTTATGTCACTTCGTAAAGTGTTTGTCACTTCATAACGTATAGGTGATTACGTTACACATATGTGACTACATATACTGTATTTGATTTGATTTCTTAGGGAACTCGACACAATCTTTTTATACATGCCCATAGGTTAGATCAATGAATATTTCTAAATTGAAGAGTGTAAGTAGTACTCCATAAGAAAACTTCAAATTCTTACAAAAGGCAGCCTTGAAGTCTGTAATTCATTAATATTATGCTAATTTTCACTTGCAGGTAAACCTATTGGCGAGACTGTCTTGTACTTTGGCTGCAGGAACAAATCTGAAGACTACATCTACGAAGATGAGATCACAAATTATAAAGAAAACGGCACTTTATCTAAAGTCTATGAGGCATTCTCAAGAGACCAAGAGAAGAAGATTTATGTGCAAAATGTGTTGGCACAGAACCAAGAGGAAGTATGGAAGCTGTTAGAGTCTGGCGCTCATATATATGTCTGCGGGTGAGCTACATTGATGAGTTTAAAAAATGATTCTGTAAATAATGATCCTGAAAAGAATTTTCTTTTTATTTCTGATCAAGCTATCAAGGAAATTATTTTTATTTTTGTTTTATTGTTAAAGTTGGCTTTTCAGCTTTTTTAAATTTTAAACTTTTTTAAACTTTAACTTTTCAAGAAGGCATAAATTCCTTTTTATGGTCCCTGAAGTTTGTGACTGCAGAGATGAAATGTGAAATATGAAGTCTACCTTGGCCAAGAATTTTTGGCCTGAATGTAGGCTCATTCTTTAGAGAAAATGCATTTCGAAAAGTTGGCTCAAACTTTTTGAAATGTGCCCAATTCTTTTTTGCACGAGCATGGAGAATGGGAGAGGGAATTCAAAAATTGCCCCCTTGTCAGTTCATTCTTGGTCACCCTTGATCTTGATCCATGAGGATATTTAAGAGCAAAATATCAACATTTGAATAACACAAATATACTGTATGTATGTAGAGTACTGTATAAGTAAGTGGTATTTAATCCGAGTGGTTAATTTGCCGCATGGTCAAATTTTATAAATTTCCTAATTTTAATTTTCCTAATGACAAGAAATTTCCCATTGGATAAGATTATGAAGATAATATTTCCGACATTTAATTTTCTGAGCCTGGCAAAAATTAGGCAAAAGGCAAATTAAATGATTAGGCAAAATTACCACTTATACAGTATTTTGAACACTTAACCATCAGACTTGAGTTGTTAAATTCTCAAATCGTTGTTCCCTCTTCAAAAGAGAAGACGCGAAAATCTTTCCTTATAAGGGCAAAATATTTCCCATGATGCAGTTCGCGGAGGAACAAATTTATACTTCCTTATTTTCTCTCATAGGTTTAACATGGGGATTTTCACACCTATTTTTCAAATGATATATTCGTTCATATTCCCGTACGAGAGTACAGAAAAAATTATTAGAAACTATTGATCTCTCATTAATCTTAATATAACAGCTATTTTTTTCATTGCATTAATTCATAGCGTGGTGAAAACGATGATTGAAAAGTGAGAAAATATTCCGGAAGAGAAGGTCACATGATCAGTTGACTAGTCGCCATATTGGAAAAACAATTCCATTCGACTTTCAATACTTTCATGCCAATCTTACCGCACTACAAACTGCAACATCGATGCAAAAACTGAATAAAAGTATTCATCTTCAAATTACATTATAGAGTTACGTTGAAAACCCTTAAACAACTGAGCAGTAGACCAAAGAAGACGCGTCGCTATTATCTAGGTCAATCTGTTCAGTGGTCCGAAAGCAAATTTATAGTACTCGTTTCCAAATTTTGTTGTTCATTGTACAATCTTTTATTGATTAAACTCGGTATACTGACTATAAAAGCAATGACAAAGAAGAATACTTACGATGGTGTCATTGTTTTATTTAGCGTGCGGGTGTAAAAACAAAATTGAGTAATTAGTTTGATTTAGAACTTTCGTGTCACGCAAATAGCTACGCAAAATGCATAGTGGGAAAATATTGACCAATCAAATTTTGTCCTTTTTGATTGCTTTTTCAGTGCATATTTGCGAACGTTCTGATTCAAAGAGCGAACCGCGAAAAGGAGAATTCTTGACATATAGTTGAACTAACCAGATAACTAGGTTTAAATGTTGGCAACTAGACCTATCAGGGGTGAGCCTTGACTAAATTAGCAATAAGATGAATGACAGCAACAAGGCATTGAGTATGATTTGTTATTGTTTCAGTAAATACAATGAGGCAGCTAGTTATGTTTACATTTAGAAAAAGTGTCTAATAGTTACATTGAGGTAGCTAGAGCTAATATTAAGGCACGCGGGGTAATTGCCTTACCAAAATTATACAGAAAAATACCTTTATCAATGTTTTTTGACTGAAACAGTAGATTTTATATGGTAGAGATTAAAAGGTGGATTGGATTGGATTCATGTAAAAGGTGGATTGGATCGGGAATCTTCAAAATGTGGAATTTCTTATAAAAAAAATTCTGTTGATCTCCCTCTAAACAATTTCCCTCTACAGTATTACAGGTCCCTTTTGAGAAATCAGAACAAAGCAATGACAAATACATACTCCAATTAGTTCATGGACACACTTAAGTATTTAACTGCTTTCCCTTGTAAATCAACTTTTGTAAGACATAGATCTTTAGAAAAAGAAAACCTGTCATTCAAATTAATGTGTGAATGTTCACAAAACATTTCTGGTATGTTCTGTTTGGATTGAAAACAGATGATATGGACCTTCAAACCAGTCTGCCTTATGATTTATGAAATGTCTCAAATTACACTTGGAATGAATAAGATCGTGTATCAGAAAGCGGGTACCAGGTCATCCTTCTAGCCCACCCAAGCAAAATAATATTACATCTATTATTTGACATTGTGCAAGTGAAGAGAGCACCAATCTTTTAAAGGGAGATCAATAGAAGTTTTTAAAGGAAAATCCATATTTTGAAGATAGCCAATCCAATCCACCTTTTACATGAATCCAATCCACTCGATCCAATCCACCTTTTAATCTTTACCTTTTATATTATTATTCATTTATTGTATCATTTGTATTTGTCTTTAATTTGGCAAGCGTTTCAATTGGGCTGATTTTGGTGAGCTTTGAAAATCACCAAATCAAAAACTTGCCAAAATCCCTGGTGATTTGACACATTTTTTCATACAGTTTAAGATATATAGGTAAATATCTGTATATGCCTCTTATATTATCAGCTGATAGTTAAGTAAGAGGGGTATTCAACTGCAGGTACTAGTAGGTAGCTTAGATAGATAGCTGTACGTCATCGCTATTTTCACATATTTGTCATGTGGCAATCATAATGAACAGTACACTGTAAAGATAGGACATTGTTGAAGATAGGACGTAGTATAGTACACTGAACATTATTGCAACATAATACTTTCAATTGTTTATCAACCGAATTCTCTCTCAGTTTCAATCTGCTCCCTTAGTTTGAATCTGACCCATAAGAACTTATCTACAGCATAGCTCTGATGCATTGAATGAATCTAATTTTTCAGAGATGCCCGCAATATGGCGCCTGACGTCCAGCGTGTGATCCACGATATCATAGAGACCCAGGGCAACATGGATAAAGACAAAGCCTCCCAGTACATCAAGAAATTACAAAATAAGGGTCGATACTCATGTGACGTCTGGAGTTAATGTCATCTACAATTAGGAATAGTGTTATCGTGGACGTAGCCAGGCACAATGCTAGCGAGGCATCTTTATGTCCAAAAATTTACAAGAAAAATGAATTCATGTGATATTATTAATTGAAATCCTATGTTAGTATTATTTCCCCTTTCACTCTAATTTGTGACATTTTGCCTCACTAATAGTCATTTGCCTCACTAATTGTAATTTGCCTCACTAATTGACATTTACCTCACTAATAGTCATTTGCCTCACCAATTTTGAGATGCTGGCTACTCCTTATACTGAACTTTATAACGAATTAGAGATATGTTCCAACTCACTGCAAAGAGTAATTTTTGAAATATTAAATGTAAAAATGTCAGAAGTGGATAAACAGTGCTCGTTTTAGGAGGTAATTCCTTGACTTGGGTATGTCTCTTATTCCATAGTTTCTTATTCATGATAATCTTTTACAATTATCAACCTGGATCATTATGAGCTGATTAGTTCAGTTTATAATTTAATTCACAGTTGTATCATATCAGTAGCTTATTAACAGCAGGAAACAGGGGAAAGAATGCAGTGTATTTTTCCCAAAATTGCCCTTTCAATAATTTTCATATTAATTTTCAAATTTCCACTTATTTTGCCAATTGTTTTTCATCACTTTAACTGTTGTTAGTATCCACTTGAATGTAGATATATTGTATATTGTTAAAATTAGCAGTGGAAGTCATTTGGCTATGTAGAACTGAAGAAGGGATTAAGGTATTCATACAAGGCAATCAGAATGAACTTATCTAAAGGATGTAATATAGTGCTGGACTGAACATAGCAAAAATATATAATAGTAACCCTGCATACACTACAGGGTGGGCCAAAAAAAACCACCCCCCTAGCCAATATTTCTGATAAATATTCAATTTTTAACATGCACACCAACAATGATATATAATTTTAAAGACAATTTAATTTGAAACAAAATGATATATAATAGAACAATTTTCAACAACTCTGGCTCGAGATATAACCATTTATGTGACATGGGGGTCAAAAAACACCTTTTCAATTTTCGTCGATTTTGCGAACAATTGCCTATTTCTACCAAATTCTAGTAAATTACAACATTGTCATGAGTCTTTCATTATTGGATATTATATATTGTTTTTATTCAGTTTTTGAACCTTGCATGCTCAATATACATGTGTATGCTTATAAAACTAATTCATTTCTTATTCAGTCTGTCCAAATATGGCTCAAAAGACTCACCCCCGGACCCAAATTCTGATTTGATTTCTCGCTTAAAACGCGAAAGCCATTGGTATAATTGATGGACCTCTGCAGAAGTACCATCCAACACCTAATTATTCATTCTTTCTGTTTGTATACACCCCTGATGGTCTAGGGATCTGCATAGGCCAACTGTTCTAAATGCCCCAAGTACTATACATGTAATCAAAAGGCTATACTCTATATCAGTAAGCAAGAATAGTGACATTTGCGATAAAAGGCTACTCAAATCGAGATGACATTTTTCTGAAAGGTAGGTGGTGTCCACTCGGTGTTTCCCAAAAAGGAAAGAATGTACAGGCTCTGTTTTTTGAACCAGGAGCAAAAATATACTCTGAATGTTAATGACATGAGGTGGTAAAAAAGGACTCCTCGAGAATATAAAAAACATGTGAAAGAAATTTCATTTTCTGATAGAACAGTGCTCTATCACACAGGTCCAATGCTACCCTGGAGTTTTTGGAGATTCGAAATGTCACCATCTCTAGCCCAGAAAAATGGCTTATTGGCAGTCCAGTTGCCAATAATGTTGATTACCATACCCGGGGGCATCTAGAACAGTTGGTACACTGTATTTAAATATACCCAGCCTATCAGGGATGTAGAGGAACTAAAAGAAAAAATAACTAGTAGTTCAATGGTACTTCCGCATACATCCATCAATTATGCCATCAACCCATGGCTTCCGCGTCTTAAGCGAATAATCCAATCAGAGGATGGGTCTGGGGGTGGGTCTATTGAGCTATTTTTGGACAGACTGAAGAAGAAATGAATTAGTTTTATAAGCATACACATGTGAATTGAGCATGTGTGGTTCAAAAACTGAATGAAAACAATATATAATATCCAATTATGAAAGACTCATGACAATGTTGTAATTTACTAAAATTTGGTAGAAATAGGCAATTGTTCGCAAAATCGACGAAAATTGAAAAGGTGTTTTTTGACCCCCATATCACATAAATGGTCATATTTCTATATGGGGTTGTTGAAAATGGTGCTATTATATATCATTTTGTTGCAAATTAAATTATCTTTAATATGATATATCATTGTTGGTGTGATTGTTAAAAAATAAATATTTATCAGGAATATTGGCTAGGGGGGTGGTTTTTTTGGCCCACCCTGTATATTAGAACTGAAATTATGTTATGTACTCTTAGCGAAATAATGTTAAATATGCATGCTGGGAAATGAGACATTTTTGCATGAATTTAATTTCATAATCTTATATATGAATATTACAGAATTTAATATGCAGTACTAAACAAGTGTGAAAATAGGTGCAAATATTTTTCATTTTTACAGTATGTACTAGATGTATAGTTTTTTAAATTTTACAATTGTCTGAAACACATAAGCAGTCCTGTTGTAAAGTAGATGTAAATACACTCTACTATACCTTGCATTTGGTGTTCATGAGCAACCCATTTGGCTTATTAGTAATAATTATGTTATTTTTTTTATTTGTCTGGTTCTTATTAATGGTTTATTGGTTGAAAGTTAGATGTTAATAAGGTACTTTCAAAAATATACTAAACAATGCAATTAGACAAACAGAGTATCTTATGCATTTCTAGGGGTTAGGTATAGTAGAGTGAAATACCCTGTACTTAATAAATGAATAAGGGGTGATTTCTAAATGCGAACAGTGGGAGAACAAAGTTTCTTGTGTTAGGCAAGGGGGAAATGATGATTACATTACTATTTATTAATAAAAGGAAATCAATATTTTAGAATTTTGTATAGAGGGGAAAGGGTGTTAAATAGTACCATAATGAAATTAAAATGTGTTAATAAACAGCTATCAACATTTAAACACCAGCCCCAAGGGTCTAAAATAGAGAAATAGTAATGACTGAGAAACAGATATAGAAATGAAATCGCAAGGAATCTGGAATGCATGCCTTGATTACAATTCTTGAATAAATTGTCTATAGAATAATAATGTACAGGAAGTAGTGAATGTTTTAAATATGCCAGATTTATAAATATTCAATATTTCAGTTTGAATTTATATTTACTTTGTATATAACAACTTTATAATGACCTAATTAGTCTGCGTTGCAATACAAGTCAGAATATGAATCTGAAAACAGTGGAAATTCAGAAAGCATGTCAATGTCATCTATTAATTTTACACTTACAATTTAGTTTTCCATTTTACCATAACTTAAACTTCAGGCCAAAAGGAATGGGATGAATTGGTCTAGGCCCAATAATTTGTTCAATTTGTCCTTTTACTATGAACTGGCATTTTGATCTGACCTCCACTGTTTATGTAAATAGTGACTACCTCCCCATATTATCATGCAGTCCTAACTTGGCCGTTAATTTGAATTTTTGACCTACCGGATGTTTGAAAATCAAGGATTACGAGTTTCATACTGCACCGTTTTTCTTCAAACTTGTTCCATTCAAAGCATAACAAAAATCCCTTTCTGATGGTACATTATTATCTTAAACAGAGTCCCTACTTCCAGAGGCATTTTGGTCTCCAGCTGTAAGAAGGCCTTCTAACAGGGGACCAAAACACTGCTAGAACGAGGGACTTTTTACAATAAAGCAATGCACCGACAGAAAGACAATTTTGTTTTGCTTTTAATGGTAAAGGGTTTGAAGAAAAACGGTGCAGTATGAGACTCGCAATCCTTATTTTTCAAGCATCTGGTAGGTCAAAAATTCAAATTAACGGTCGAAGTTAGGACCACGTTATTATGCGTCATTTCTGTTTGGATATATAACTGTAGATAAGACACACTTCACTACAACAGCTTAATGTAGTTTTGCAATGTAGAAACAAATACATTTTTGACTATTTTCTCTCATAGAGTGTAAACATCCACATAATATTTCTAAAAACATTGTGGCCAGAGGAAAGAGAATTTGCTATTCAATCGAGGAAAAGTTAACAAATATCCATTGTTTGAATTATTCATGACCAGTAGTAATCACTTAGTACGTGTATAATTTGTTTCTAGGTCATTTCAATAATAGGGAGTTTAAGCTAGCATATAAAATTGAAAAGCCAACCTATACGTATGACCAATTGCAATTGCCCATTCAAATGCATCCCTTAATATTTTCCTTCTATGTTGTGAAATATCATTGCAAGCTTACACTCCCTATTTTCTTGGATATTTTGTCTGTACATAGGGCGTTTATTTAGAAACACTCAAAAATAACAACCATGAGATTTTAATAGAGGGAAATTATCATTACATACTCAGATACTGTACTTCCGGTATATATTTCAACGCTTTTTAATATTGTGAATTTTGAGAAATCACAACTTCGCAGTTGAACGGCTTTGGAAACTTTAAAGTTACCCTGAAGTGATAAAATATTACCTCATGCCACAAACAGTAGTTCAATAATTTACAGTGTGAGTGGTCATGCCTTCCCAATGTCACATTTCCATGGGGATAAATAGCAATTTTTGGCGATTTTATCATCACTGCAAATTGCACAAAATTAAATCTCACATGAAAAATACTACTGGGAGTATAGTAATACACATATGTATGTCAATGTTCCAAAGCAATCAAATAGAACGTGATGAAGCATATTAGAAACTGTATCACTCATCAAGGCTGTAGATATCAAGTTTTGCAATTTTATCAGAATTTAAAGATGAATGTAAATGTATATTTTTCTGCGATCATTTACTTTGTACAAATTATACAACATCAATAAAATAGTGCTTGATAAATGTATAAAATGAACATTATTGTTTTTTTGTTGTTTACTTTCACATGTGATATTAAAAGGCATCATTAATTCATTAAAGATACAGTTCTGTAAATTGCTTTAATTTGACGTTCGTTTTAATTTGGCTGATTTGGCAGATAATAAAAACTGCCAAATTGAGACTCCGCCAATTTTTTGAAAATGAAATTCCTGGGCATTTTCGTTCAGTACCTTTCCCATGTGTTACCTTAATGAACAATAAACGTTTGGTGAAAATCTTGATTGAAACATTGATAAAATGTCAATTTGAAACTATTTCCAAAGGTATACAGATTCCCTGCTGGTTTAGATAAAACAAGCTAATACCAGGAGAGTTAAATTGGGTTATTGGTGGTGAGCTGTGAAGTGAAGAATACAATTGATGATGGTCAATCCGCCAGATTTGATAGCAGCCAAAATTTCAAAATTTGCCCAATCCGACAAATAAAATAACGCCAAATTAAAGCAATAATTTACAGTAACTGAATCTGTATTATTAAATGTTGATTCAAACATATCAAATTGTTTGTACGCTAACCGATGTTAAGTTAAAATTGATAAAATAAATACTTGAGCTAGAATTGCTACATGTAATACTACAAAAGTAAAAAAATGGTAATTAAACATCTTCAATAATTATAGCATCAAATATTGTAATTAATGAAGAAATACCACATGACCATAGCCAGGCATGTGGCAAACATGTATTGCCTCACCATATTTTACAGAAACGTATTTCTTGAGACATTTGTTGGGTCAAAACATTGGAAATAAAATCCACAAAATTTGCCTCGCCTATTGAGTTTTGACCTTCCTAGCTTTAGATCAGGGCTATACCTCAGAGCAATGTACAGTGTATTATAATAGAGAATAACATGGCAGTAATGTATGAGGTCCTACATATACACCCATATAAGATTTTACACTATCTTCTATAAACTAGGTATGTTATGCACAATATGCGGCAAAACAGCAATCCCACTTGGAGATTCTAGAAAACAACAATCAAGATAATTAGCCAACTCATTGTTTTTCACAGCAGACACCGTGACAGGCACTTATTTCAATTAACATCTCAGTTTGAGATAATGACATCTCAGTTTGATCAAAAATAATGCACGTGATAATAAACAGTTAACTGCAGCTCATTTTCCTTATTAGTATTTGTGTATGTGATGGTGTGATATTGTCATGTTGATATTTCTAATTTGAATTTTGGTAACTAGTATGAAACAATTTTACCCCCTCCCTCCCCCTTGTTTTAAGTCTCAATCAAAGACACTGGAACTGGTATAGAGGAAAAGATAAGGAGATGGATTAAACATCAATCTCTTGCTAAAGATCTTTTCAAAATCACACCAAACTACATGTAAATATGTGTTACTGCTTTGTAAGTGAGTGAATGAACAGAATAACAGACAACTTACTAATCATACCTCGAATACTTTTTACATTGCTGTCTGCTGAGTATATAAGTGCCATGCATTTTTCAGTTTAATTACTCTTACTTTGCAAGAGTTGCTTAGTGTTTAAATATGTTCTTTGCTAGAAATAATATGATTTATGGGTTACATGCATATACACCAATGAAGTCCAGCACAAAGTTGGAAGAAAACACAATGATCAATTCAAGACATTCCTTGATGTACACGTGATTTTTGAATTTAAAGCAATCATTAGTGCATAAAGGCCCTATGTAATGTTTAAACCACCTTAAAATGTGCTATGTGCTTAAAAGAAAATTTCAACCACTTTATTTTAAAAGTTGAGCTTATTTAAAAAATATTATTTGTATATAAGAAAAAAATGACAATTTTGAAAAAATATTTTTCCACCTGAGTGAGAACACAGCATATCATTGAAGCACAATTTCTTAAAAATTCTTTAAAAGTTTATTTATGCATACAATCATTGAAAATAAATACTATCTAGTAGTTGAAATACTATTAATTTTGCATGGTCCATTCAAAAGAGTAGAGAAAACAAAGTGTTTTACAGTGGTAATAGGCTAACAGGCTAAAGGGCCCTAGTAATATTTTTTAAATAAAGAGGGCAGACCAATCAATCTGTAATTTTTAAATAAAGAGGGCGGATCAATCAATTAAATACTCAGATTCAATGCTGCTACTATCTTTATATCGGCCTACAACAAACATATTACAAAAGTGTAAATTTTTGCCATTATGGCAACTAAGAGGAGGGAAAGCCCCAGAGTTCCTTCAAATTGTGGACACCTTGGTCCAAAACTGAACACCTTGGTCAGAATATCGGACACCTCAATTTTTCACACTCACGTTTAATATTATTTGAAGCGTATTTGCCAAATTTTGAAGCTGCCATTGATTACATCATTTTGTTTATCAATTTTTGACCAATCAGAAATGTATGTGATCTCAATACAGGTTTACATTATAAGCATATATCATTTTTGAACTCTGATGGAAAATTTGTGGCATAAACATAGTACCATAAATGTGGGCTCGGCTTGCTTTTTTGTAATTTTTGACTTTGATAAGGCAATTTGCTATCACTTAATGTCAAAAATAAGAAAAAGGTTAAACACCCCACATTCATGGGAGTACACCATACTAAACAAATGAATCACTGGCGGATCTGGGGGGGGGGGCTGAGCAAAAAAGGCCTTAAAGTCCCAAAAAGTGGGCCTTTTTGGTCTTTACTTGGCCTTTTAAGACCTTATTTTTTAATTTCAGGGCAAATATTTTGAAGCGGGTTTTGAAGAAAATGGGCCTCAAAATTTGGTTGTAAGGGCCAAACATTTTTTCCAAGCAAGCGCGGATGTTTTTTTCTTTGACCTGAAATTTGGGCCCCCCCCCTTGTTGGTTCCCAGATCCGCCCCTGTGAATGTCCATGCTAATCCAAAGGAGTCTCTCACACCCACAGTCAACTGCATTTCAAGTTGATCTGATCATGTTACAAGTGTTAGAATTTTCGTCTAGACTGGCATATTGTACTCCAACAGACACCCAGTTCAAACAAAATTAACTCTCAAGCTGAAGGTGGTCCTTTCAAAACCCGGAAGTAAATATTAAAAATTTACTCACTTGAAAATATGCTAATCTTCTGTTGTATTCTTTATCACCCGGATAGTATGATTTTTTATATACTTTGATGAAATCTTGGAATGCTTCCTCAACATTTTCTAAGCTAACATTATCGATGTAAACTCCATTTATGAAGACATTGTGGATAAATAGAAGAAAAAGAAGTAATTTGAACAATTTCATGGGGGCTGACATCTTGAATGACAAGTAAAATCTAGACTAAAGTGAATTTGTAATAATTTGTATTTTAAGTGTTTTTCAACCCTTGATCCTATCACAAAATAATATTTATACAATAATTGAATAATAGAAGATGAAATGCAAAGACACACTATTCTAATGCGATGGAATCACTTGGAAAAATAACAAATTCTAGTCGTACATCCGGGTAACTTTCTCTTTCCCAGCCAGAAAAAATGGCGACACAAATCTCCAAAAAGAGAAAGGTAAAATATCGAATATCGTCTATATCCTTTCATTTTCATTTAAGATTTCTCGTTCAAATTAATCATACATATGTCGAGATGTATTTAGAGTATTCTGATCCTTGAGATGACCTAACTATCGTGACGATAAATTACGATTTCCGAAGCTACCTCTCCAGTTCATGCCGAAAAAATATTACATTTTCGACATTTTATTTCAGTTCGTTGCCGATGGCGTATTCAAAGCCGAATTGAACGAGTTTCTTACTCGAGAATTGGCCGAGGATGGTTACAGTGGTGTTGAAGTTCGTGTCACACCAACAAGAACAGAAATCATTATTTTGGCCACAAGGACACAAAATGTGTTGGGCGAAAAAGGACGTCGCATCAGAGAGCTGACATCAGTGGTGCAAAAGAGATTCAACTTCCCAGAAGGCACAGTTGAGGTATGTACAGCTGGTCATATAGTCCTAACCTATGAGAGCACATGCATTGATTTCAGAATTGCATCCACAGATTCGCCCCGCAGATTTTAGCATTCCTCAGTTTTCTTCAAATATCAGGGCTGTTCCATGGTAGTTGGAAGTTCAATATACAATAAGTAATAAATATCTGGTTCAGAAAGATCCATGTAGAATTTCATTTCTACATTGATACTGCTCATGCGTCCCGCAATATGATTGGTCAAAAGGCGGTGCGCGGATCATTTTACGAATTTTGCAGTGCTTACATTGGCAGTATTATCTTGCCATAATAGCAAGATTGAGGTATGAAATGTGTTTTCTAGATCCTTCAGGGTGTTATCTCGGGCCTGTATGACTGCCAAATCTCAAAAATCATGATAAAGATGTGTATAATCCATTTGAAAAACATCAATATTTTTTACTAAAAAGATTCTGCACTCTTTAAGTCCATTTCACTGCTTCATTTCGTCAGTAGAACGGCAAAAATAAGAAATTAGGAGACCATTGTGCAATAATATATGGAAAAGTATATTCATAATGTACATGAATGACATTTGTATATCTTGGATTGCTTCTAGTTTGGCTTATAAAGTGTGTGGCCTCTTATATTTGGATGTTTCTGTGCCATGTTATTTTCAATAAGATTAACATGGCTGAAATTCTTCAAATTACAAGACGGCACAGGCTTATTGCACAAAAAACTAAAAAATCTGAAATATACAAATGTCATTCATGTACATTATGAATATACTTTTCCATATATTAATGCACAATGGTCTCCCAATTTCTTATTTTTGCCATTCTACTAACGAAATGAAGCAGTGAAATGGACTCTAGTTTTAAATAATAATATGAAGGAAATTCTGTTCACTTTGGGCTGTACCTTTTTGTGCGGAGGATTTTTGTTAATTTTTTAGTGCAACATTTTAGTATTTTGTAAATTTTGTGCAACATTTTATGATTTCATAATTTTTTTGTGAACTTTTTAGAATTTTCTTATTCTTTATTTTAACATTTTAGGAAGCGCATCTAATTGCATTGAGGAGCATTTTGGTTTTACAAAATGCTGCGCCTCAGAGATTTCAATTAGGGAGAACCCTGTGTATTGAGTCGGTCAATTTAGCATTCTTGTTTGAACAAAATTAATCTTATATCTCAAGGAATTTGCATTGCGGTTGTGATTTTTCAAAGGAATGTTTTATAGGCGAATGCCCTTTCCAACCCTCCCTCCTTGCTATACAAAAGTGAGAAATTGTTCACTAAAGGTCAGTCTGTACTTTGATGAAATTTCATGACCATGTGCTATTTCCAGAAAAACTCATTCCATACATGGTCTACATATTTCATTTTTGCGCAAAATATGCAATAATGTACCAAGATTATTAATTAGGTTTGATATTTGTTTAGAATCATGTATGAATAACTTAACTATTCTATTATTTTTGCAAATTTGAAAAAAAGACCGCTTGGTTTTCTAGTTACTTATCCATTCTACTACATACATTCTGGTCAGCAACACTGTACAGTGATCTCCCCAGGATTTTTTCATAGCAGGGGGGGATTTTTTAACAAGTTTCGCCGCTCGCTTCGCTCGCATGATTTTTGTGCCAATTTTTGCCGCTCGCTTCGCTCGCTATATAAACACCAATTCTCATTTAGAAAACCTTTTATTTAACAATACATGATAATATGCTTGTAGTGTCATGAGTATTCATTGTTCATTGTGTTTCCTTTAAAGTCTTCTGTCCCTACATCTTCTGGGGTGCATGTCAAACCACCTCCCCCATGCTGCCTCAAAATCGAACACCTCTTCCCTTGGTCCATTTATGATAATGTTGATGACCCTGTCCACTGTTTCTACTTTCATTCTATTCTTTAGATAAGTCTTTTTAATTTTACCCATTTTTTTTTGAGTTTCCCGCATAAAGAACCGGAAGTCGAACTTCTTTATCATGACAACCATCAAAAGCAAGATTTGAACATTAATTCGTTCGCAATTATAATAACTACAGGGTGTCAAATAAGTCCTGTCCCCCCCTCTACAGCCAAAACCAAGATATTTGGTACCAAGTGTGATATATCATTGGAAAGGTCTTCCAAAGTTACGTTGATTAGCATATACCCGACACATGTCAATCAATCTCACAAATTTTTACATTGTATCATTTGAGGTGACCATAGGCCTAGAAACATGGGAATTTGGCGTATTTGGCAGGATTTTAAGAATGGGGTATAAGAAAGGTCAAAGGACCAAAAGATGACTAAATATGTACATGGCAATGAATTAAACCAATTTCTGGATAGGGTTAGATGTGTAGAAAAAGAGGAGGTGCAGGGAAAGTGGTGAAAACCTTTTTTAACAAATGGAAAGCGAAAAAGATTAACTTTTTGACAGTTTTCTGAGGCCATATCCTTGTCATTTTGACGCAAAAAAGCTGCTTAAAGGAGGGTACGTTAACTATAAAGGACATCATAAAAATATAAATAGGTATAGGTAAATGTCATCAAAAATACTTGAGAGTTGGTGAGTTAACATAACTTTTGATGATCTTTCCAATGGTATATCACACTAGGTACCGTATATTAAGGTTTAAGCTGTAGCAGGGGGGACGGGACTTATTTGACACCCTGTATTAATAAAAAATTGTCAAATTGTAGTTTTAGTCGTTTTTATGTTTGTTTTATTCCAAATTGGCGATTTTGATGATCGGTGATCACATCGCGTTGCAGTATAGGGGTAATCTGCGCCAGGTTCAACTGTTAACTTTTTCTAATTTTCTGAACGCACGCATCAAATGAACGATTTTGATAGGTTAGAATGTTTTGGGCGCATGCGCATACGTAGTCAAATCAAGTGATCGAACCGAACCTGGGGCAGATTATGTCGATGACACACGATTAGTAATAGATAATTTGATTGGATATTTCGTAACTAATCATGAGTTTTGAGCCAATCAGAAGACATTTAAGATTCGGCCTTCGGAATGGCAAATCGGGAAAAACTTTTTGAAAAATTTTTGAATTTTATGTGATTTCGTCGAATATCCAGGAGAATAAAATAATGTACGTAAGTTTTGAAGTAGCGGGGCGCTAAGCAGGGCGGGCGAAGCAAGCAGGGGGGGAACAGGGCGGGGAAAACGAGTGAGCAGGGGGGAGCGCCATGCAATTAGATTCTGGGGAGAACCCAGCTGTATCAAGAAGAGGGAAATTATCAGTATTTTATAATGGTTGAGCTAAAAACAAAGATGTTATGATTGAACCAAACCATTTTAAAATTTCCAGTTGTATGCTGAAAAGGTTGCCACCAGAGGTCTCTGTGCCATCGCTCAGTGTGAGTCTCTCCGTTACAAGCTTATTGGAGGTCTTGCAGTCAGGAGGTGAGCTAATTTAGTACATAGATATATTGAAATTGTATAACTGTCCTTAACAAGTCTCAAAATCAAAGGTGAGAAATTGACATGCACCTTTATAAAATAGCATTGATCTCTCCAGGATCTTTTCTCAAGTGGGTTTTCTCATCTTCACAATTCACGCTGAAAATGGTTAAAATATGCCCATTTTTCATGACTTTTTTTATTTTCAAGTGGTGCAAATGAATTTTCAGGTGGGTGCAGATCTGTTTTTAAAATCTCAGCCCACTTGCTTAATGCTGGGGAGATCACTGAGTAGTATTACATACCTAGCGAAGCATTTGTATTGATGTCAATGGGAAAGTTAGCGTGCTATATCCACTGATATAACCATTGATATAACCACTGATATCTCCCAATATAGCCTCCTAAGGTTGACCTATATTGGGATCTCAAGCGTATTTCATGTCATAGTGACATAACCTCTAAATATCAACTAATAAATTAAAATATTCACAAATAAGCCATAAGACAAATTTTACTTTCTTTTCCTGTATACACTTGTTCTTTCATAGATTTTCTGCAATGATTATCACTTTGTATGAACTATAATGCTGTGATTATTATAAGTTCCCTATTGTCTGAGCAGAAAATAATTCAATCATAATAGTGAAAGATAAGAAATCTAAGTTAAAAGACCTGTATAACCAAATATGTCATTAATTTAAAGTTGAACATCTGTCTTCTTAACAACTATATAAATCAGGTGATGCATATATGGGGATTGTTGACATATTGTTATAGTCTCCAGTTTTTGTGGATGGTGTTCGATGTTCTGCTGTCAATGTCTGTAACAAATGGTAGTTGTGACATTTTAATGCCTTATGTTTAATGATGTGTATTAAATATTTGTATTCACTTAAAGGGCATCTTATATATTTCTGTTTCATTGCAGGGCATGCTATGGTGTTCTGAGGTTCATCATGGAGAGTGGAGCCAAGGGTTGCGAGGTTGTCGTATCTGGCAAGCTCCGTGGTCAGAGAGCCAAGTCTATGAAGTTTGTAGATGGTCTCATGATCCACTCTGGTGACCCCATCAATGACTACGTTGATACCGCAGTCCGACACGTACTCCTCAGACAAGGTAAGTAATGCCACTTGGCACACTTCAAATGTATTGATGCTTTTTATTGTGCCTGGTTAGGGTATTGAATGTTAATTGTCTGTCATGGGGAAGTAAATTTTACACATGATTTTGTTTGCTGAAAAATGCTTTTTGTTGTGCATTTTGAAATTTTAAATCTTTTGAAATGAACCTTTGCAGTGATTATCACTTTGTATGAACTATAATGTTGTGATTATTATAAGTTCCCTATTGTCTGAGCAGAGGTTCAAGATTACATATTTTGTGACCTAAGAATGGCTGAAAGAACACAATTTTAAGATAACATTCATAAACATATTGTGCCTTTTCCTTATAACGTAAATTGACATATGTTGTACTTTATTCAGGTGTGCTTGGCATTAAAGTAAAAATTATGTTGCCCTGGGACCCCAATGGCAAGATTGGACCTAAGCGCCCTCTACCAGATCATGTTAGTATCGTTGAGCCCAAAGAGGAGGAAATTCCAACTACCCCCATCAGCGAACAGAAGGGAGGCAAAGAGGCCCAAACTGCAATGCCCGGTGGTGCCCCAGCTCCTGGCGCACCTGCCCCAGTCAATGTTATGGCCTAGGTGGGTGAAATAACAAATGTTTTTATTATCATGACTAAATAGAACAAAGAAATGAGCCTTGAACTTCATTATATTGATGCTTGAAAAATAGAAATATTTATTAATGAGTTTCATAATCTGTCCTGTTCTCTGCGATGATTATCACTTTGTATGAACTATAATGCTGTGATTATTATAAGTTCCCTATTGTCTGAGCAGAGACGCAGGTACCTAAAATTAGATGTTGACATTTATATTAAAGAATCTTGTAGATCACTATTTCTGCCATATCAAATATTCAAGAATGATCTCATATAAGGAACCTGAATAATGAATCACATATCTCGGATCACTGACCAAACCAACCAGACATAAACTTAGTCAAGTAAGATGAAAAAAGATGCACTTCATGCCTACAAGGTTTCTATTGAGATATTGTGAGGATTTGCTAAAATGGAGGAGTGGGACCAACATGGACATTGTGTTTCTGTCCTGGTCCATTTGCTTTAGTAGATGTAGTATACAAGGAAATATTCGACCTTGACCTTGATCGATGACATGTTGTTATTTTCTGATATTATAACTGACCATAAATTCATAATCAGCAATCCAAGAGATTTGAATCAATATCTTGCTCATTTCTTGTGTGTTTCGAATTTATTTGTTTTGAAATAAGACCAAAACTGGCAATTCAAATTTTGATGAAAAAGATGGATATGCGGATGTTTTGATTTTGAGTTTTGTAATCACGACATGACTAGGTTATAATAAGGTCAAGGTCATAACACCATGGCTAGCAGAATATCGAAGTTGATTTCTGGGAGCCAATCCTCCTTGTGCAGTATATATTCTTACAAGTTATTTACTTAAAACCTCAATAGGTATGAAATACATGAAATGTTTATCTAATCAGATTGATAAACAGTCGGATACTATCTTAAATGAAAGGACATTTTGATTCCAATGTTCATGTATTTATTTTTCTTTTCAGGTGAACCTCTGTATACAGCCAAAGCCCTACAAACTATCAAAGAAAGACATTACAACATGGACTTTCAGGGTTTGATGTAACAAAATATGAAAAAAGAAAATAAAAAAATATGAAGAAAATGATGCTCTATTATTGTCCTTTGAGGGCCTTGATTTCCTACGGAGGCGAAATGGAGTGAAATGTGCTCAAGGAATACAAGTCAACATCATAAGATGCATATACCAGTGTGTTGCCAACCTACTGTTTTCTTACAGGAATCTACAATTTTTATGTAACTTCCAAAAGTGGCGATATATATATCGCTATAGTCTCCAACATTTTTGTGTTCGGCAGTTGGCATTCAGATTTCGGCATCTGTTACAAATAATAGGTGGTGGATGCATGTTAAAAAAGATTCACATTACAGTCTGTTACACCGCTTCAAAGGCAAGCAGTTGAACCTGAAAAATAAGAAATCTATAGACCATTGTGCCATAATATATAGAAAAATATATTCATATTGCACATGAATGACATTTGTATATTTCAGATAATTTAGTTTTTATTGCAACAAGCCTGTGCCCTCTTGTAATTTGAGGTCTGTCCGCCATGTTATTTTTTGAGAATTAACATGGTAGAGAAGCATCAAAATATAAGAGGTTACAGACTTTATGAGCCAATTTACAAGCAATCCAACATATACAAATGTCATTTGTGTGCAATATGAATATATTTTCTATATATTATTGCACAATATTATTTAGATTTCTTATATTTCAGGTTTAACTAGTAGTGAATAATAATGGGCCCCAAAGTAACTTATTTTATACTAAATCTATTTTGCTCAATAAATATGTCGATGTATTGCAAATTGTTCCAAAATTTTTGAGAGATGAATTGGTGAGATCCTGATTGTATGCGTATATCAAGTGTGCGATGGAACAAAGCATGTCTCATTGTCTTGTCAATATTTTTCAAACTTGCCCTCTTGAAGGAGTTCTTTTCACCATCTGCAAGGCCTCCATCTCTTATGCACATTACGAACATAGTATGTTGCTATTGCTGAATAAAGACTCAACATGAAAGAGTAAAATGTTCTATAACACCCCATGCAGACAGATCTCTTAAAATTACATTCGTATGATGCGAGACTCGACATTCACCAGGAAACTGCTCAGGGAGGAGAGGACCGCCTGATGCATTTTGATCATCATCTAAACGTGCATTGATTCAGTTTAAAACAGTTTGTATAACATTCGAATTTTGGCTTTAGAAAAAAATAAGGAAGGTTGGCTCCCAGGAAACGTTGTGCAATCGGATATCGATTGCAATACGTGTACTCTCCGACATGGTGCGATCTGAACGAACTGCGAATGAGATGGACGTGTTTATGAACGAATTAGCTAATTATTTTAGACTTTCACGTCTACAACCAGATTTAGCCCGTTTTATGGCTTTTCCGTAGGTTTGGAAAGAACGGCTGAAAACTAGTTTGGTGAAAGGTGGATTAGCAGTAAAAAATAATTTGCTACATTGGTGACAAAATGTTTCTGTCTGCATGGGGTGTATAGTGCCTCTCACGACTTGGACAAGCTAATCAACAAAAGATAACCTGATCATCCACACTTTTTCTCTTGAAAAGTGTTTTCTCACCAGCTGCCATTTATTTGGCTGTAAATATAGTGAATGTGGCACGAAGAATATAATTGAATACAATGAAACGAAAATAGCATCCAATCAGTGTTAGCTTCATTTCACTGCACCGTGTAACATTGGCCACAATATGTTTAGATGCTGGTTTAGAGAGATATTCCCCAGACTGCTGCTGATACATGGATAGACAAATTTTGGAAAATGACGACTCAAACTTGGCATTGTTTTAATCCACTGTGACTCCCTTTCACAGGGTGAAAGCAAATGGGGGAAGGGGAGGATTAATGCATCATTTAAGCTATTTTTATTCAATTCCATGTAAACTGTATTCAAGAAGACAATTTTCACAGAACAATAGTCGTAATTAAGCAGAGTCTTTATTAACAGTTGTCCAATTTACAATGTTTTACGATGAAATGTGTCTCCATGTTAAAATTCAAATTTTGCGGTAACTGGGAAATGGTCGGAAAGGTCTCGAATTCCTTGAATATTCGAGCAACTGCTCCCTGGATACCAATAATACGAACTCTGTAAATAAAAAACTACTTTAATCTTGATTTTGTTTTTACAGAAAAATAGTTTGGTTATTTAATTTGACTTCTTGTGGTTCACTCTTTTAATCAAATGCAGCCTAATGTTCACTGAAGAGTGTTAAGGTGTTCACGTTATGTAATGTTGGTACATGTACACTACGCAACATTATACTGGTGTGTGATTTTAATACACCCCTCGATCGAGAGAATTCAATATTCTGATGAAATACTGCAATTCTTACCTTTAAGATACAACCCTCACACCAACATACATTGAAAGCCTGGTCTGCCTTCACATCATGTGCTACCATGGAGACCGATTTTGGTGCCTGGTGCTTGTTACTGTACACAACGTAATCTAACCATTCCACTGTCGGTTCGTCGCTTGCTTTACCCAACTGGAAATAAAAGAACGCAGCTTAAAAATCATCTGTGGTAGCATCACAGAAACTTCAGTATGATGAGAAGATTTTTTGATACGGACAGTACTATCAACAATTGACTTACGTTTGTTAGTTCGTTACGTCTGTTATCGTACGTCCCCGTAAGATCGCCAGCCACAGCAGGAACTGTAGCATCAAGGGCAACCATAATATCATTTAAATGTGTACGTTCGTCAATCTTATCTACATTAAAGTCACCGGCGTAAATCACAGCTTCGCTAATTGGGATGTTTAGGCTGTCACTGAAGCTGTTCATTTCTCTTGCTTGGTTAACACGTGCTTGAGCTGGACCTGCGCCCTTTTGAGCCTGCATATGGGTTCCAAATATGTGGAAGTATTTAGATGCATCATTTATGCGCTTTTTTATTTTGGTGTACACAACTCCCTTCTTCGATAAAGCATCTCCAGTAAAATGAGTATATGCCTAAAATGGAAAATGAAATTAATGTTATCAGAATAAAACTTCAATCAGTCAACTAAATAAAGCAACACCCTTGATATACGCAGCTATTTTATAATGGACCGGGTGGGTGCCACAGCGTGACTGGGGCGATGTCAACAGTTGTTTTATGAATTTAGATTAACCATGTCTTGCTTAATATCAACGTTTCCGTGTCTTTGAAATATTTGATACATTGTACCGCCCCGGTCTACGTTTACAACATCGTCAATAACATAGACAGCATGGGTAATACAGGGCAGCGGCAAAACTGACAAAACGCACCTCAAATACATGGAATCTAGATTCAACGATAGGCCATCTCGACGCGATAAAGACACCTCCATTTTCGATTTGTTGTAGATCTCCGCTACCTTCTATGGTCTCAGTGATGTAAATAAAACCGTAGAAGATAAGGAGATCTCTCATACTGATGTCAGGCCAACAGCCACCCATGAACGCCTCCTAAAACATGTAAACAGAAACGTGTTCTCGATTCTTGATATATTTGATATTTGACCCATATATCAATTCAATAGTTCAATGACACTGGCTGCATCTGATTGTGAACAGTCTCCATTCACATAAAAGTTAGCATATAATATGATATTTGAAGTAAGAATTTCAGTCCACTTAAGCCTAGTCAATAATGAAATGCATCAAAATGGCAGGCTACCTGAAATACGACTACATCAATAGTGTTGAATTTGTCGGCAATCATTTTTGGTATCCTACATGTCCTTTCTACCTGACCATCGTGTGATATAGCAAATCGTCTCTCGAATATGTTGTAACTCATAACGTTCAATGTGTTTACACCATCGGGAGTGAACTTAGAAGACGAAGGTATGGCGACACATTTATGTTTGTTGCCGGTGTCACAAAAACCAGTTCCATCGTCGTCTTGAAGTCCGAAAAGACTACAATCGCTTCCTTCTACGCCTCCACATGGACGGCGCGTCGGCTGCTCAGGGAGGAGAGGACCGCCTGATGCATTTTGATCATCATCTAAACGTGCATTGATTCAGTTTAAAACAGTTTGTATAACATTCGAATTTTGGCTTTAGAAAAAAATAAGGAAGGTTGGATCCCAGACCTCCAACTCGATATTTGACCTTGATCGATATCAACATTGAATGAAAATGTCCTCACTGTCGTTACTTTCTATATAAGACTATAAATTCATTAGCAGCGATCCAAAAGATTGTAACTAACATCTTCATCATTTCTTTTGTGTTTTGATTTGTTGTTTGGAAATACACTCCCCTCCATAAGTTTGGCAACTTTAGTTCCCCCATTGAATTACGTGTTAAAGCAATGGCCTTTTTACGTTTGAATTTTTATTTACTTAACCTCGACATCCCTCAAAATCGGATTTATTGTTGGTAAATATCGAGATTGCATTCTTGATCCCAATCTTTCTCGGGAAAATGAATAAATCGGAACCCCCCATTGGATAATATGTAAAAGTCTGTTTATGTTTGAATCTTGATTTTGTTCCTCAATTTCAACATGGTCCGGTGGAAATACTGATGAACCTGTCTGAAGTAAAACAAGCTTTAAGGCCTAGACGTAGTTCATGAGGTAATTCCGGTTCCCAAACTGGAGGGGGGTGTATACAGGTATTTTACTTACAGCATTGACCCGGATATATACCATGTTCAAGGTCGAGTGGATCAATGGTAGGAAGAACACAGTCACACTGGCACAGGTCACAATACACGAATATTCTAAGCCAACCCTGCATTCTCAGGCGACAATTTTTGATCTCTTTACAACCGAATTTGTCGAACTGTTTTGGTACCGTTTCACATGTTTCTGTTAAAAAGATACAACTCATTTTCATTTTACTAAAGAAATAAAGAATCCGTATTGTTCAATATCGGAAATTTAAAAGCATGAGTGCATGTACTAACCCATTCTGATAATGCACTGAGGTCGGGGCATGAATCCTTTTGAATTTTCAATGATTTAAAATTCTGTATTGCAATTCAAACATTATATTAGCCAATCTAGTTTGTGTTTTAGAAATAGGGTTGTCGAGTTACAATTGATGTCCTGTGAAAAGTATTTACAATATTTAATTCATCAAAATGTTTAATAAAGGGAGGTAAATCATTGATTTGATACAGAAGTCTGCAGAAAAATTGTAGAAACCTACTGTAGTTAACAGATCATAACATTGACTGAAATTATCACATTGATCATATAGCGTTGCCCCCATTTTAACAATAGCACTGCTCAGTCAGTTCATGAAATTAATAAATAACAAGTTTTCTGCAAATAACGATAAATCAATGCATTTAAATGGTCCAAGAAGATTGGCTGAACACACACTTGGTTTGTATATGATATGATTTAAATCAATTTCGCACTGAAGTGACAAATTGTTGATGGTTATTTTAAATTAAATGGGTCCATTTAGGGTAGGTCAAGGTAAAATATACCAAGAACTTTTTACTTTACAATTATTAAGCTATTCAATGTTTTCTTCATGTTGACAACTACATGTATGAAAGATTCGATGCAAATTCGTTTACCGGCGCTGGTGAAAGTCAAAATCCAAAATGTAAATTATGAAATAATTATGAAAATAAAAGTATTACTGGTGCATGAGCCCTGGTTCAAATCTGGCTTGGCATATGTGCGTGAAACTGTAATTCCTGAAGCAAATCTGCACTTTTCCCCAAATTGACAATACTTATAGCAGTCGCATTTACAGATGTCACAATTCACAAACCCTCTCGTCCAACCTTTCAAATGTGACACTTGACGACAATTCGACAACTAAAACCAAAACAAGGCTACAATATGCAACGTAGACATGTCATATGAGTATGTTACAATTTTTATGGGAAATGAAAGTGCAGCAATACTGTACATGTAAAAACTTGAAAATATTAATTAAGGAAAAATACAAAAACTAGATGACAAAAATGACAAAAGAATTCAAATACAATACAAAACAAAACAATACGTATGTAAAATACGCGAACGTCATCAAAGTGATCAAATGTAATTTATTTATAGTCTGCTGGTCTGGGGCAATTGGCATACTGGTCAAAAGCAGCAAAGCATCGATTTGTGAACGGACGTTTTTTGTTTGTAGCATGAATGAGATACATGTATGCCAGGGTACATTGGTTAGGCAGGGGTTTTGTTAAGCTATCATCTCAGAATGATTTATTTTACTTACCCTATCACATCCTGCTCGGCCAGTTTTTCCTGATGCCTCCGGACATGTTTTTGTACACGTACCCGCCACATCATCTTCCGTGGCAAATATTTCACCAACGAAGCATTCTCCATGCGCGTTAAGTCCCTTCATTAAGGCAAGTGTGATTACAATTACCCCGGCTAAACTGAAAATATCAAATGATAACGTGACGATGGATATATTTAATATCCACCACTAGTACGAACGCGTTAAGAATAGTCAGAGATCGTACTATCATATCTCCATGTCGTTTGAGCCAATTTGAGACAGATTCTGAGGAAAATTTGAGTATATTGAACAATATCTAAATTAGTGTAAACGTTATCAATTTTAATGGACTGTTGATTAAATCATGTTTGAAACTAATATAGTTTTTTTAGAAATTAAAATTGTATAAAATTTCCCGGGAAATTATTCGCCAGGCTGTTCCACAGATCCGGAGCCAGATCCAGCCCCTATTGGCAGTAGGCTCAAAGAATATTTATTGAGCCTAAACACCAAGAAGAGGTAATCTGGCAGAGGTCCGTAGCCTGTTCAAGCAATTCCAGGAGCTGAGTTGTTATTTCCCATTGTCCGACACACACAGATCATAAATATAAATTTGAATTTCGGTTGATTTTGCCTGTTACCCAACATTACAGAGTAACATATCCAATGATCGTAATACGCGTATTGCCATATTTCCTTGAAGATGCAGTATTCTTACCTTTTCATCATGTTTCACTCCTATTTGTGATTTGAAGTTTTGATCACCAAATTCAACTGAGCGTGTATGTGTAGATGATCTCAAGCAAAGACATATAAAACATGAATTAAACTTTATGAAGTCTAATTAACATCATCCATCTAAATGGAAATGGATGCAATATTAACACAATTGCTCCAGAGTATTGGGATTTCGCAACTTAATTCATTCATGGACAACCCCACATTGTAACATAAGACATAAAAGAGATAAATATGACGCTTTTGCCATTAATATACCTTAATTTATGTATTATATATTCTGTTTTCAAGTAAAATCATTACAAATACAAAGATTATCTAATCTATGCAAATAAGAATAAGAGAAGGTTCCAACTATAAGGGGTCTCGATATCACGGAATAATTAATAATCTAAACATTATAAATGTTAGATTTGCAGTTTTGTGATTCGCAATTGTAATGTGAGTTGACCATGGTAGGTAAAATCATCACAAAATAGTATTAACGGCATCATAAAAATGGCCAGGGAGTGGATAAATCCCTCCTTACATACTCCATTCTCTTATACGTCGTGACACCGGAAGTTTACAATGTTATACAAGTATTTTTGGCGGGAGATTTGTAAGTATTAATTCATTTCGACGTTTTGACAGAATATGGTCCTTTACATTTCGTAGAAACATTGACCATATCATGCAGATATACCTCTTGTATGACTGCGTCACAACATTTCGTCTGAACATGGTCTAGAACTTCTCAAACCTTCTAGAAAGCACGACAATTTTTGAAAAATGATCATTTTTTCACAAAAAATGATCACACTTTCTATAATTTTAACCCTATCATCTTAAATATTGATTATATTAACAATACAATTTTTATTCATTTTCCAAGCACTTCAGTTTCCCAAACCAATGACAGAACTCCGACAAATTAATTTTTTCTTAGAAAGTATACCAAATGCTAGTTTAAGGAAGTTTATGGTAACCCCGGATTTCGCGTTTCCTTAAGTTGTCTTTTGAAAGACTTTGGAAGTGGCAACTTCAACTCAAAAGACTTATTTGATGGATATGGTGACTGAGAATACTTTCTTTTCGGACGTGGTTATGCTTTGGGGGTTGGTAACCCTATTGACTTTGGGGAGAAGTAACAATGTCATGGTCAACGTCGTAAACCTCCTCAACGTCGTATACTTTCAAAGAAAAAATGATTTCTCGGAATTCGTTCATTAATTTGGGAAACTGGAGTGTCTGGATGATATATAAAAATGTTATTGTTACTCTTATCAATATTTCAAGATGATAGGGCTAAAATTGTAGAAACTATGATGATTTTCGTCAATTTTCTTTTCAAGAAATTGTCGTGCTTTCTTGAAGGTTTGAGAAGCTTAAGACCTGTTCAGATTAAATGTTGAGACGTAGTGATACTAGAGGTACAGCGTATATCTGCATGGTATGGTCAATGTTTCCACGAAAGGGAAAGGGCCATATTCTGTCAAAACGTCGAAATAAATGAGTACTTACAAATCTCCCGCCGAAACTACTATACTGGGTATAACCTGGGACTAGCGTCGCAGGTATAACGTCGTAAACTTCCGGTGTTATGACGTAAAAGAGAATGGGGTGTGCTTATAGAGCATATCTCAGCAGCTCGAATCCGGCTTTAAGATGATGTATAAATTCTATCATAATTCGTGTAATATTTTTCTAGTACGATATAATTTAGTTTACTGTCACTCAATTTTTTGCCTAAATGTTTATTGTTGAATAGCTTTACTACTGTATATTTTAAATGGGCTCACAAAACAGTATAAAAAGTGAAAAACACCAAATACCCTTTTTAAAACAAAGCAAAGAAATATTTTTATAATCGAGGTCAAAAAGACACAAGCACTGTTATTAGTAATTCTGATATAATGAAGGAATTGTGTATAATTTTGTTTCTAAAACATTTAATGTTCTTAGACCAAATGGAAAAGCTCTTTGTGGTGGTAGAATAAACATACAGGGTGAGCCAAAAAGGTAACCCAAACAAATCATAATAACTCAGTCATCCTGCATGGATTTAGTGTCATATTTGGCACAATTAGGCCTTGTACAATATATTGGCATTCTACTAAATTGTAGCGGTCTATCTCTAGTGGTCACGATTTTATGCTCATTTTATATAAACATGCCATAAAATATGGGCGTCATGTCTGGAGGTCAACTTGAACGCATTGGCCGTAGTTGTTCACAGCACGAGCATCTCTCATCTTCCTTCTTATCTCTTGTTTCAATGTTTCAAGGGTTGTTAGTGTAGAAAATAGGCCCACAGATAAAAATCTGATGGGATTTATATCCAGTCAGTGAGGCACATTTCGGCATTTTGAGCATGTTTGGTAAATGGCCATAAAGTCGTGACTATTAGGGATAGACCAATGGAACTTAGTAGAATGAAAGAAAATTGAAGGTTTAATTGTGCCTAGTATGATTTTAAACCCATGCTGAATATCTGAGTATTAAACATACATTTGTCCGGGTTACCTTTTTTGGCTCACCCTGTAAGTAAATTAAACTCGATAAAATGTCAACCAAAGTTGGGACAATCTCCAGATGGCATAACCTTCAACTTTTACAAGGGATATTGAGATAACATTTCTCATTTAATTTTAGATTCACTTGAAAACGATTCATAGGAAATAACTGTAGTCTCGCACTTTGCGATTTAGAATATTGTAACATCACAATTAAGGTGGCGCTATGTTATTTATGATTTCGAGAAAGCATTTGATTCCATTTAGTTCAGTTTCAAACGGAAGCAGAAGATTTAAGCAAGGGTGTATATTATCTACTTTCCTATTTTACTCCAGTTTTCAAGTATGCAAAAGGTTTTTAATAATATTGAATATTAAAAAAGTTATTAAAGAAAAAGTGACTCGTGTCCGAGCTGCTATGTTTTCAGTGGGATTTGCTACTACGCTAAGATGCCATTTTCTAGTTGACATATTTTCTATTTAATACTTACTGGGGGCCATTCATGAGTCTTCTCAACATGATGGAAAGTGCGACGTGTTAAACTTAGCATTGGTTCAAGCCATTGTGACTCCCTTCACCTACAAAACTTGCCTCCTCACAGGGTGAAGTAGATGGGGGAGGGGGTGATGAAAGACTTGAGTACGCTTGCACACTGTGATTAGGTAAGAACTTATTTATTCAATTCCTTGTAAACTTTAATCAGTAAGAGAATTTTTAACAGAACAATAGTCGTAATCAATCAAAATCTTTATTCACAATCGCTCAATCACAGTGTTTTACGATGAAATGTGTATTAATGTTAAAATTCAAATTTTGCAGTTACTGGGAAATGGTCAGAAAGGTCTCGAATTCCTTGAGCATTCGAGCAACTGCTTCCTGGCAAATAATCCGAACTCTGTAAATAAAAACAACATCTCTCTTACTTTGATATTGATTTTTAAGGAAAATGTGAAGTATTTGATTTGACTTCTTGTGATTTACTCTCTAGATCGAACGTATGTGAACAGAAGAGTGTTGGGGTGATCACGTTTCAAAATTAATGTTGGTATACTGCGCAATGTAAAGTAGTGGTGCATACTGCAGAGTACATTTCTTTATTTGATCAAGGGAAGTCAGTTTTCCAATCAAATACTGCGATTCTTACCTTTAACATACAGCCTCCACACCAACATATGTTGAAAGCCTGGTCTGCCTTCACATCATGTGCTACCATGGAGACCGATTTTGGTTGCTGGTGCTCTTTACTGTACACAACGTAATCCAACCATTGCACTGCCGGATCGTCGCTTGATTTGCCCCACTGGAAATTAAAGCAATTAAGCAATTTATAAAGCATCATCTTTGGTAGCGTGACAGAGGGTTACGATAAACTTCCCGTATAAATACAACATAACGGCTCTAATATATCAGTCAATTTTTAAGAAATTAGGGGAGTTTTGTACATTCCAGTTTATTGTAATCGTCTTGAAGATAAAATTATTGGTTTACAATGATTCTATCAACAATTCACTTACCCTTGCCAGTTTATTTTTGTTTGCATCAAACGTCCCCGTAAGATTGCCAGACACAGCAGGAACCGTAGCATGAAGGGCTCTCATAATATCATCTAAATGTGTACGCTCGACAGTCTTATCAACACCAAAGTCACCGACGTAAATCACAGGTTCGCTGCTTGGGATATGAACGCTGCCACCGTCGTGCATATCTCGAGCTACGGCGACACGTGCTAGAGCTGTTCTCGCGCCATTACATGAATGACCTTGCATATAGGCTCCGAAGATGTGGAAGGGTTTAGATGTACTGTTGACGCGCTTTATTATTTTGACATACTCAAAACCCATATTCGATAACTCATCCCCAGTAAAATTAGCATATGCCTTTAAAGAAAAATTAGATGTTTTTTTTATTATTATGGGCTTTATTATACTTTTATCCCACGATTGGGCAAATTGTACAGCTTACAGAAAAATAAAATGAAAAAGATATTATCACAGGGTGACCCTAAAAATCAGAATAAAACCTCACTCAGGCAATCAAATAAAGCAGCGGATACACTTACACCCTTTGTATACGCAACTACCGATGATGGAGAGAACGGGTGCCTGGTGCCACAGCGTGACCGGTGCGGTCCAACGGTTGTTTTGCATCTAAATTAACCACGTCTTGCTTATTACCAACCTTTCCATGTGGAATTTAAAACCTTTAATGCCATGGACATGATGGAGTGTTCGGAAGCAAAATCAGGAAGAAATCGATATAAGCAAAATGTAGGTGATCTAAATTAAAAAATAACTGCTGGCACCGTCGCGCATAAACGACGCGACAGCAGCATGGGTAATACAAGGCCGTGGCAGAACTGTTAAAACATACCCTATAATCATACAATTGGAATCTAGATTGAACCATATCAATGGGCCATCTCGACGCGATAAAGATGCCCCCATTTCTATATTGTTTGATATCTCCGAAACCAGTAATGTATGGGAAGCCGTTGAAGTTTATCAGTTCTCTCATGTTGATGTCTGGCCAACAGCCACCCATGAACGCCTCCTAAAACATGTAATAGTAACGCATTCTTGATTCATTAGAACAACTTGGATATCTTTGATATCTGACCCATATATAAATAATTCAATGACACTGTACACTTTTTTGATTCTTTGAATGTATTTGCAACAGAAGTGATAATTCTGTAACATCCCCTCAAAATATACTTTGGTAGCGTGGTTAAAAGAGAGGGAGATGTTATTGGTTAAAATTATGAACTTTATTTTTAGTTAATTATGGGGGGTGTAAAACATCTGTCTTTACAATGAGTCTTATAAGAAATAAACTTTTATGTCAAAAGAAAGATGGCGTTCTGGTAAAAATCTCTACATCTTGATTATACTGGAAATTGCCTCATGAAAGGGGGGATAATATCATCTTAAAGAAATATAACACGACAAAAGTTTTAAATAAAGAAACATATTTACATGTGTATATTGTTTGGATATAAAACATAAAAAATGACAATAGTACAGTAATAATTAGTTATGAATATTCAAACTGTGTTCTGGGAGAAGTTTCTATATAAAGTGACTAACATGGACTAACAATGACTAGCACGAATTATAACAAGTGACTAACACGAGCTAACAAGTGACTAGCAAGTGACTAGAAAGTGACTAGCAAGTGACTAACACGAGCTACATGGTTGGAAATTTGCAATATGAATGCCGGAATTTCCAGAGACTGGGAAAGCTGGACTATGGGGTACTTTGGGAAGGGGAAATACATCTCTCTAATAGGATACATGGTCCTGGGACTAGAGGAGATGTAAAGGGGCTCCTGGGCAACTTTTGGGCCGAAGCATTATATACATTTCAAGGTAACTTTCATGTCAAATCTCGAAACAGAATGTCATAAAACATATATCAATTTGTTGATCATCATTTGATTAATACAAATATATATTTACCTAACACCAATAGAGTCGGAACACTGCAAAATCGATCGAAACGCAGGAGATATATCCATTAGCAGCCTTACAGTTGAAATCTAAACAGAACACAAACCAAACTTCTCAACTGAGGAAAACCTTACGCCGAATTAATAAACTAACCTAACAAATAAAAGTATTTCACACCTAACACAGATACCAAAATATGATTAACATAAATACGCTGAATACAGAAGTTGTGATTGAAGTAAATTGCTTATAATTAATGGTAATTACTGGATAAAATCCTGGGACTATATTCTGCACTATTTGTACCTTTAATATCAATACGCCATCACTGAAAAGTATTTATGTGGAGATAGGCATTCTTCTTATAGAGTGAATATCATCTGAATGCATATAAACATACAACTTATAAACAATTAAAGTCAAAATCTAATTAAATAAAGAGATAAATACAGTAACAGCACACCAAATAATAAGAGAAATTATGTTATAAGTATATATGAATTTGGTGGGTTGTTACACAGCTTCCCTCTTTAATAAGTGTTCGACCCGAACACGCTTTAAAAATAAAAAATGGAAGTCCTTGATTTGATAAACATGTAATGTCAGCACCTAAAATTATAGTAATTTTACACTGTCATTATTTTATTAGTCTATATATCGCTGCATTCTTCTCTGGATCTGCAATATCAAAGTTCAAAAGTTCATTCACTGCAGTTTATTATCTGCCATCAATCATGGAATGCACCAAATGTTCAAACTTCATGCATTTGAGATTATTGCTCAGTGTTCTTTAATGTCTGTAGATTCCCGTAAAAATATGTGAGAGGTTGACAGGTCTGTAAATTGTAGTGGTGAATCTTCAGCTTGCATCTGATTATGTTGACATCTTCTGTTCTGCATCCCTGAAACATTGCTACACAGACATCCTATCGTGTTGTAGCAATTCACCAAAAAGTAAACCAATAACGGGACAGGGTCACACCATCGGTACACAAGCCAAATTTTCATATTCTCACAAATATGGGACACGGGACACATCTTCTCATCTACAGGGGCAATTTGAATGATCAACTCATTTCTACGGGGATTGGGATACCTTAACAAGTCATCAATCCTGGATAATTCGTAACATTAAGATAAATACAAAAGCATTCGTTTCCAGGTATCTCGGGACATTGGGATTTTCCTTTGGGACATCCATTCTTTTCGGGTCTAACTTGGACTTTTGGACTAATAATGAGATACTGTTTCATAGAAACAATATGTATTCAAGTTTCATAGAAACCTTCTTATTTGAATTATATTTGAATTCATTCACCATGGGACAAATGGCTCCATCTTTTGGAACTATGTGGAATAATGGGACAGCTCGGACTATCAAGCAATACTACTACGGTCTTTATTAGAACATCACTTGTCTGACTTGATCTACTTGAACAACATCCACCTTGTTAATTCATTAAGAAAAATGTCTGGCTGTTCCGGGACTATATACATTATTTACATTGTCTAAGGGGCTACTGTTTACTAACCAGTCTCCAACTGGCGAAAAGGACATTTGTACCTTGAGCTCTTTGCCCAAAAGTAACAAACTCAAACGGGAAAATTGCCCTATATACATCAATAAGAACTAATTTATACGGGAACAATAGAATCTGTGTGTCATAATATATACTGTAAATCTATGTATAGTGTCCCTTTAAGATATGTTAAGTCACGTGATCATAGCAGTGACGTCATTGGTCAGTTCTGAAATAAATTCTTCTTCTTCTTCCTTTAGGCCTTTGTGTCTAAGGCCATTGGCACTGTTATGCTGCCTTTGAACACTTGCTACAGTTTATCACTTGTGTTTCATTTCTCACTTGTAATTATCACTTATACTTTGTACTTGTGGTTTGGAGAGAGAGCGCTTAATTTTGATGTATTAGGAGTTGAAAGCTTAATAAAAATGTAGATGAGTTAGCTTACTTCAGCTAACCTGAGAAAGAGTCACTATCTCCTACTATATACAAAGTTCTTTAATTTAGAATCTCCTTGTCGAGGCTATATAAGCCTGGAATTTCTGGAGGATCTTAGTGTTTATATTGTCGTCAATTTCACTATCTAGGCCAGTTAGAGTCCTGATGGTGATATATGGGTTATGATTTACTCCCAGAAGTAGAAAGTTGACATCTGCCATCAATTGTTCCCTCTGTGTCTCAAATCTGGAACAGTCAAAAACATAATGTTTTATAGTCTCAGGGATTTTGCAGTGAGGACAGTTCGGAGATTCAACATTGGGATTGATCTTACTATGATGGCTATTGAGCTTTGTATGGCCAGATATGATCTGATTTATAACATTGCGGGCTTTTCTATTACCTATAGCTATAATGGGTTTTTTAGTTTTAACCTTGGTGATACTTGGTTGTAACTGACTGACTTTGACAGAATTATTGAATCTTCTCTGCCATATTAATAAAGAGTTATCTTTTATCAGTTTATATGCTGTTGATTTTGTTGCATTGGATGGCATAAGTTGATTAGTACATTTAGCAGCACACTTTGCTGACTTGTCTGCCAATTCATTCCCAGTAATTCCCAGATGTCCTGGGACCCAGTGGACATTCAATATTTTGTCTTGGCTGATAAGAGTTTTGCATTTGTCCCTTATGCAGAGAATGTCCTGGTTGAGTGATTTTAGTTTGGTGGAATTGAATGATGATATGATGGCTGGTTGGCAGTCACTCAATATTATGATATTCTTGTTTGTTGGTGAATTGCAGGTGAATTCCATGGCTAGACGTAGTGCGTAGATCTCGGCATGGTAATTATTACCTTGTTTCGACACTGGTTTACCTAGACAGATCGGTGTAGAGCTGAGTCCATTGATGTAGATTATGGCAGCAGCCCCCGTTGGCCCTGGATTTCCCTGAGCTGATCCGTCCGTGAAAATGATTGTGTCCTGTGCCGTGGTCTTGTCCAATAATTCTTTAATTTTATCACATTGAGCATCTTTAGAATTAGTGAACTCATCCTGGTGGACTGTAACTTCAGATGACATAAAAGTTTCAATCTCAGGAGAGTGGTACATATGTTTTGTATAGTGATGAGGATCAGTTGGGCACTTAAGCCTTCTTAGTCTAGATTCAAGAAGATTGAATGCTGTGATGAATCTCTCTGTTGATTTAGAGTCCTTCCAGAGGTGATACTCTTCTGTGATTGGGTCGTTGTTTCTGTTTGTGAGGATCCGAACTGCTTCCTGACATTGCCTAGTTTGTATCAGTATATCTACCGGAAGCGTTCCAGTAATTACTTCTAGAACCTCGGTACTGGTAGAGTTAATGCAGCCAGAGGCTCTGAGTAGTGCTGTTCGTTGTACTTGAGAGAACAGGGTTTCCGCTTTGTTAGTAGCTGTTATTGCGGCTGATATCCCTGTCTCGAAATGGGGAACCACCAGGGATTTGTACAGTAGCATGAAGACCTCTTCACTGCAGCCTTTTGTGCTGTTGGTAAAATTCATAATACCAGTGAGGGCCCCGTATGCTTTTTTCTGTTTGTGCTCCAGATGTGGTGTAAATGTCAGCTTGTTGTCTATGATGGTGCCCAGGATCTTTTTCTGGGTACATTCTTTGAGAGGTTTGTCATTGATCTTGATGTTTATGTGGTTATGGGTAGTGCCTGGTGGACTAAAAACAATGTATTCTGTTTTTTCTGGAGCGATTTCCATGTTCCAGGAGTCACACCAATCGACAGCTACCTTCTGTAGATCTTTATTCAGGGTTGTTTGTAAGGCTGTAATGTCTCTGCCTGCTGCCCAGATGATGTTATCGTCAGCAAAACAAATTAAATAAACAAATACAAATTAATAAATTACAGTTGTAGTTGAAGCGTTGTCTTGTTCTCATAAGTTCTCCCAGAATACTCGGCAGTTAAGACATGATGGCAGCGGAAACTAATGGCATGGTCTATATGAAGCCTTAGAGACAGTGTGTAGACTACATTTAACTGTATAATTTATGTGTATATGGCGAAATCTGGGTGCAAAGATCGCAATCAGAACTCATTATTCAATATGGCAGCCCAGGTTCATCTCCATGTGGAATATTGCAAGTACACC